TATAAATTTATTTATTGATGTATAGTAATTAATCTTATATATATATATATATATATATATATATATATATATATATAAACAAAATAATAATAAATATTTTTTTTATCTTACTAATTAATCTATTATATAGAAAGACAATATTTTTTTTAACATTTATTTATATTCTATTATTTTCTTATTATAATTATTTTACTCCAATATCATCTGACTTTTACGGGTTGAATTGCAATTACCAATACTTTCATAACTAAACATTTTCTTATCACAATTTTTTTAAACAATAATTTCTACAAATATATTTTTTACGTTTTGATTACAAAGCACAGTTTCTTTCTCAAAAATTGTTATTTTGCAAAAACTATTTCTCATTTGAAACAAACCAATGCATGCTGGTTCTATATAAATGTCATGTAATAATTTACACTTAGCTAATTTGTGTCCAACTAATAGATATCATATAAAATCACATTTTTTTTCTTAATTTGTAGGTGTTTTTTACTGTTAGATTTTTATGACTTGAGGTTTATAAGAATAGTCATGTCCATTATTTGGCTAGTTAATTTTAAAAAATAATTAAAGCCACTCTGTCTTTTTTTATATACATATTTATCTGAATTAGTGTTAATTTTTTACTCTTTAATTTTTAAAATATATAGACATGTTTTAGAGAAAAAATAAACAAAAAACTTGTCTAGAAGATTAAATAATGAATTTTTAGAAAGTATCTACAGCTTTTTCAGAAATACTAAGAAAAAAAACATAAATATTTATACATTAATGTGTATATGACAAATATTATATTAAAATTTTAATTAAATAAGTTTAACTTTATCAACAATAAAAAAATATGAATATTTGTTAAAAATTATTTGTACTTTAACGAAATCATGTTATAACAGAAATATTATTTTATTCATATGATTTTTTTATTAGTTTTTCCTAATTTTAATAACAGAAGTCAATGTTCTCCATAAGAGAAAAAAAAATTGTTTTTACCCATATTTAGATCAGAACAAGTTTATGTTCCTTCGTTCTTTTATTTATGGTTATTTTATAAAACAATCATGTTCTCAGTACTTATGTTCACGGTGCATTCTTGTTTTTTTTTATAGGGTTACAATTGTTGTTAGCAAAATTACAATTATATTAAAAAAACGAGTTAAAAATAATGTTTAAGTTATAAATGAAAAATTATGATTGATATGAAAAAGAATTAAGATGGTAGTGAGAATTGAAAGTGATTGAAAATCAAAGAATAAATCTAAGTAAATGGACTTAGATAAATAAAAAGAAGAGATGTATATATGGAGACAAGGAATCAATTTGTATATCAAAAAAGACAAAATATTGAGAGATAATTATGTAATGAAAGAAAATAGGAGATTAAGAAGGAGTTTATATAATTGAGATACACACAACACCGTATGTAATCCAACAAGTGACATGAATAATTACAAGTGTTAAGTGATAATGTAATTACTCGAGAAGAGCGGTTATAGAAATAGAAATAGTTATATATATATATATATATATATATATTGTATTTTCTTTATTCTCCACAAAATAAGATATAAATATGACTAAATAAGTATAAATTAGGATGATGTTAAATTGTATTAAGACTTATAGTCCCAAAAATGTTATGAACATGATAAAAGTTATTTCAATAAAAAAAAATTATAATTTGAATCATCATTTTTATCATTTTTTTTATCAGTTTCTATTTTATCCTTAGTAATCTACACTTTTTCGCACTTCTCACACATTTACATTTTTTTAATTTAATTTTCCTTTCATTTATCTTTATAGCAATTGATAGCTTTTTGCAATTTAATTTTCAGTACTTAAAATTGCTAAGTATTATAATCTAGTTGGTAAAAAATGTTACAAAAATTTGATTCAACATGTGTTAAGATATTGAAAATTCAAATTCACACTCAAGAAGACTTTATAAATGTTTCTATCAAATTGACATGTGATAGGTCAAGAATAAAAATTTACTTTGTATGAATTATCGTTTGAAATATTAGTAAAATTGTGAGTATTATTTTACATTTTCTCTAAATTGAAAATTGTTTTCATTTACTAATCTAAGCATTGTACAGTACAAACAAATGGTTAGTAAGGACAATATTGAATATTTTTTCATTAATTTCGATAATGTTTGAATGAACGTGAGTTAGACCAGAAGATTAAGAAGTAGTAAAGGATGATGTCATGGTAATTGAAGTAATAAGCAAAAACAGGGTCTTAGAAGTTTATTAGAGTGATTAGAAAGATTGAAGGTTTGAAAGTGCAGAGTGATAAAGAATATAAAACATTTTAAAGTTGAAATAAAATTAATTCCCAAGAAACCTACCATACTAAATGAGCTATTTTTTTTTTTTACCTTAAATCAATAAGGACTAAATGAATGATGGTAGAGAAGATAATGTTTATTACTCGAATTTAACATTTATGATGAGAATAAAGAGAATTTAGCTTCTTTAAGACTTGGAGATAAAGAATGAATTTATTTATATAATTACAACAGTAGGAAACATACTCAATTATGAGTAAAAAATAAGAGAAATATCATTAATCGATATTTATGTTACATCTTCTTAAGAGACATTTTATTGTTAACAAAATTATAAATATATAGAGATAATTAGTTGAAGTTAGAAATGGTGATTGAGATGGAAAAAATTAAGATTGAACTAGTGGGAAAGTGATTGAAAATCGAGAAATAAATATAAGTAAATGGACTTAAAGAAATCAAAAAAAGAAATGTATATATCGAGACAAGAGGTAACTTATATAACTAAACAAGACAAAAAATCGAGAAACAATTTGGTAATTGAATAAAACAAAAGATTGGAAGGAACTTGTATAATTGAGATATACATGATAATGAAACTACTACATGATTATGGAAGAAAACAAAAGTGGAGGTAAGCCCCTCAGTGAGGTCAGGTGCTCTATGATAACGAAACTACTCTAAAAACAGGAAAGTAGTTATAAAAAAAATAAATCATTTTATATTTTATTTTTTTGTTTTTTTATTCTTTATACGGTTAGACAAGATAAGGTATAAATATGATTAAATAAGTTTAATTTGAGGTGATGCTAAATTGTTCTAAGATTTACATGCATACTATGAACACAACAAAAATTATCTTAATGAAGTTCTTTATAATTTGCATTATCATTTTTATCAATTTCTATTTTATCATGATAATTTCCATTTCTCGTATATTTATATTTTTTTATAATTTAATTTTTCTGTCGTTTATCTTTTGAACAATTTATAGTTTTTTGCAATTTACTTTTCATTCCTAGAATATTTATAATCTAGTTAGTAAAAAATGTTACAAAACATGTAATAATATTGAAAATTCGAATTTACATACAAGATTCAATAAATATTTTTATCAAATGATGCGATAGCTCAGGAATAAAAATTAACTTTACATTAATTATCGTTTGAAATATTACTAATATTATGAAAATTATTTTATGTTTCCTTTAAATTGAATAGTATTTTTCACTTGCTAATCTATTAATTAAAATGGTAAAACTTGGAGAGAAAAATATAAAAAAATTAAATATATTATACAACAGATCATTTTACATTTAAACAACAGAATGTTAAATATATATATATAATTTTTTTAAACGCTATTTTATTGCTTTAGTGGAAGATTGGTGACTACCTCACATTTTAAAGAAGTGATTTTTTCTCAAAATTATTTATGTCATAGACAATAATTTGAAGTTAAACAAAAAGTCCTCTAACAAAGTGAATCAAAACACACATGTAAGGTAGAAAAAAAAAGAAAATAAAAGGTGAATTAACCATTGATTTTAACAATATCTTATAATTTTAACTAAATGTAATTCTATGCTTAATTATTTATGTTATTGGTGTAAATTAGATACATTATACTTCAAAATTATAATAAAACTCTGAAATTAAAAATATACTAGTTTAAATTTAATTTACGAGTATAAGTAAATTAAAATTTTAATTCAACAACTTTCATAAAAAAAAACATAAAATTACTACTTTAATTCCTTAACTAGGTTATTTATTGAATTGATTTCTTCTCTGTAAGACAAGGAAATTAAAAGCGAAAATGAAAATAATTGTCATTAAAACAGTAACAAAGATGTATAATATATAAAATTATGTTTATTTATATTAAGTAAGATATTTTCTTTTTATTTTATCATATATTTTATCTATAACCTTCAATTATTTTACCTAAGGAATTGGAATGAAATTTTAGCCAAACATAAATATATTGATAATTAATTACAAATTAACTCGATTTTTATTTAGTGACTTCACACATTTATTATTTTCAAAGCAGCTAACTCTTATTTTGGAAACTTAATACCAAAGACACAATATATAAATGATTAATTATCAATAAAATTTATATAAGAAAAACGTGTGAAAATGTATTCATAATCTCTTTCAGTAAATTCCATATATATATATATATATATATATATATATATATATATATATATATATACTTGATAAGAATTGCATGTATAGGAAGAAGAGGGTAAAACCTCAGTTTAATAAAGTGTTATTAAATAATATTTAATTAAATTGTTTATTTGAACACGCTCGAGTTTGAAAGAACCTTATTGAAAAATGTAATAAAAATATTAATTATTTAGAATATTAATTTAAAATAGAGTAACGTTTTTTATAAAAGATATTTGATTTTATTTTGCGGACATATATAACGTAAGGTGCAAGGACGCTCCTAGAAAAAAACAAAAAAAAAAAAGATAAAAAGAAAAGGAGAGATTTGAAAAGCGTAAAAAGCGGGATTGGAACACGTGGCTCACTATCCGTTATTCGACCGTTGCAGGAAGGAAGAAAGCTCTTGTGCTAACAAAACACAACGCAGCACAACACAACACAGCCTCTGTGTCCATTAAAACCACCACTCTCTCAATTTCTCTCTCTCCATCTTTCGTTCCAGTGCGCTTCCATCACCATGGCCATCGCAACAGAGACTCAACCTCAACAACACAAGGTCTCTCTTCTCTCTCGCACACACAAATCTAGGGTTTTCATTTCTCAAAATTAAATTTTCTTTTACATAATTTATTTTGCGGAATTAATCGGCAATAAAATTTGGCACTGTTATGTTCTGATTGTTTCGTGCTTCGTTTCGCCAGGATTCTTCTGAGGTATCGGGTTCAGCTGCGGAGCGGAGGTGGACGCTGAACGATTTCGACATTGGAAAGCCTCTTGGAAAGGGAAAATTCGGCCACGTCTATTTGGCAAGAGAGAAGAGTGTGAGTTTTCTATTGTTAGGGTTTCTGCTGTTGATCTTGTATTCTTCTGTTATGGATGGTGGCTCGAGATTGTGCTAATTTCTATAGATTATTTCACTCGCTTCTTGATTTGTTTGGGGATAATTTTGCAGAATTCCATGGTGTTTTCTTTTCTTTTTGTTCTCTTAATTTCAAATTTAGGGGTTGAACTGTTTGGAGGTGTAGCTGCTCAAGTTTTTAGAATTTTAAGTTTGTGACGATAACAAGGTATTATTGCAGTCTTTGTATGAGAGTGTGGGATGCAGTCTGAAGCATCTAAAGTGTCTTCACATATATATATCAATAGATTTTTTCGAATTTTTGGTTTAGGATAAAGAGCTGTTGCATTACTCTTGACCATTGTTGATTTGTATATATGAGATGGTTGTGATGTATTGTTGCTAATTTGTACATAATATTTCTCCTTACCTTTTTGTTTTCACGCGTTAATTTTATTGTGAAACTGAAATGTGGTTTTGGTACAGAGTAATCACATTGTTGCTTTGAAAGTACTCTTTAAGAGCCAATTGCAGCAATCTCAAGTTGTGCATCAACTTCGGCGAGAAGTTGAGATACAAAGTCATCTCCGACATCCCCACATATTGCGCCTCTACGGATACTTTTATGATCAGGTATGCTTGTTTTTACTATATATGCTGATATTGCTGAAGAGGTTTAAAATTCACTGCTCTTAACATTTTATGTTAAATAACCTCATTGCAGAAACGAGTGTATTTGATTTTAGAGTATGCACCCAAAGGTGAACTTTACAAGGAATTGCAAAAATGCAAATATTTCAGTGAAAGGCGTGCAGCTACTGTAAGTATACATAACAAGCAGTGGTTGTTCTTTTCCTCTCCCTATATGCTGCTGCTTGTGCAATACAAAATCCCAAGTTGACTCGTGTATTTTCTTCTACACATTTGTATTAAGATATTAAGAAGCAAGTAAATACTGAAACAACATTTGACTAAGAGTGCAGTTGATTACTTATGTGTTTGACAGGATACGTGCTTTAGTGTTTCACATTAACATTGTTCTGAGATTGACAAAATGTTTCTCTTGTGTTTGAGAGCAGTATGTTGCATCATTGGCCCGGGCCCTAATATATTGTCATGGAAAACACGTAATACACAGAGATATTAAACCAGAGAACCTTCTTATTGGTGCACAGGTAATCTTCTATGGCTCTTGCGTTTTATTGTCCTCACTTTGTACTCATTATTATATTAACATGTTTTCATTGTTAGGGTGAGTTAAAAATAGCAGACTTTGGCTGGTCAGTGCACACATTCAATCGCAGGCGGACCATGTGTGGCACACTGGATTACCTTCCTCCGGAGATGGGTATGCTTATGTCACATGAATCACACTTACAAATATTATGTTATTTTCTTCATGGATGATGCACCACTATATTTCTTGTTAATATATTTTTGGTTTCAATAGTGGAGAGTGTAGAACATGATGCGAATGTGGATATATGGAGTCTCGGTGTGCTGTGCTATGAGTTTCTTTATGGGGTCCCTCCCTTTGAGGCTAAAGAACATTCTGATACTTACAGGAGGTAAAACATAAACACTAATCAGTTGGATATGAATTAGCATCAGTATCATGAACAGACTCCTTTTTTATTATCCCACGCTAAAGGGACTAATGTAAAGGCATCGGGCAAAACAATTTAACCAAGGGTGTGCTAGTGCTGCTGAATCTACTCTCTTTCATGCTACTTCTACATTGGTGTCTTTTTATAAACTGCAAACTTTTTGTAAACATCCAATATAAATTACAGTGCAAGTGAATCTCAAGTTCCCTTTTGCAAACCTTGTTTACAGGATAGTACAAGTGGATCTCAAGTTCCCTCCCAAACCAATTGTGTCTTCTGCTGCAAAGGATCTTATCAGTCAGGTTTGTTGTCAACTCTCAGTGATTGCCTTTAGAAAGAGATATTTATTCAAGCATTTTTGCCTCAGTAATTTTTTTCTCTATTCATTTGATTGACAGATGCTGGTGAAGGATTCCTCGCAACGACTACCATTGCACAAACTCCTTGAACACCCTTGGATTGTTCAGAATGCGGAGCCTTCTGGTGTATATAGGAGCTAGTGTATTTTCTTAATTGAAAAAATCACCTGAATTAGTAGCAGCTACTTCGAAGAGGCTGATGACAACTACTTGAAGAAGTAGTTGCTATGATTAAGAGAATACTTTATACTCTTAAAACATGAAACTGATTTGTTGAGATGTCCCGTATTATTTGATTGTAAAACCCCACCCCCTATTATAAAGAATAACTGATGTCACTTATTATTTTATTGTTGTAACCCTACAAGGCCATATATAATATATAAGAATAACTTTCTTCAGAGAACGGCTAATCATTTTAAACAGAATTAAATGCGTAATTATAATCACAGAACTAAGTACACAAAAAATTATTTGTTTGGTCAAAATTAACATGCTTGTATGCTGAGTAAGTAACACATACGAAAACTAAAAGAAAGGATAACATTTATACAGTATTATAGGTATTGTGTTGGTGTTGTTTTTCATAATTTTCCTTTAGAAGAGAATTTTTATATTATAGAAGCTCTATTATATAGCTTTTTTTTTAATTGTATGCAAGTTAATTTTAGTTTATAGAGAAGTTAGTTAATTTTATTTTGTTAAATGATTTATACATAACTTCGTCTATATTTTTATAAGATGCAAATTATCAAAGTAAAATTCTAAATATGGTTAAAGAATATACACTAAAGGATTGAATGTTTTATTCTAGAAAAAATTAGCGAGGGAACTTTGTTAACTTAAAAATAAAGTATAACATAAAAAAGTCTTACATTTAAGAAATACAAGCTTACCAGTATTTTTTTTATTATTTAATTATGAGCATTTATTTTTATTTTTAACCTAGTAAATAATTTTTTATCAAGGAATATTGATTTCTTTTTTCTGGACATATACGGTGGTAGATTAGGGAAAAGATGCTGCTTCGAGAGTTGAAAGATTGAATGACAAGGTGAAGAAAAGAAAGACATTATTACATTTTGTTTAAATCCAAAAAATAGCAGAACGTATACATAATATAATAAGGGTGTTTCTTCCTCCTTCCTGTATTTCCATAATTAAAATAAATTTTATGTTATATTTACATTTTTGAAACTTACGTTTAAATTAACTGCTATGAAATAATTTTAGATGGCATTTTAGATTTTAGTTACTGTCTGTAAATTCGAAAATACATTATATATAGATTATTCTAAAATATATTTTTAAATTGATGATTTTAAAAATATATTTTAAATTAAATATTTTATAATATATTTACGAATTATTTAATTTAAAAATATATGTTGGAACGGTTAATCAAAAAATAAATAAAATAATTAATTTAAAAATACATCTAAAATATACTTTTGAATTGATTTTTTTAAAAAATTATTTTGATTAAAATATTCCAAACCTCACTTACGTAAAATATGTTTCCAATTAAACAAATTGAATATATGTATTCACTCTCAATCTAATTTTCATCTAATAAATATAAATATTTTCATTTAATAAATATAAAATATTATTAATTTTTTAAGTTTCAATGATGATGAAATAATAACAAAACAAAATTATATAGAGGTGTAAAGGAAAGGAGGGAAGGAATCTTTTAGAGTTTTAAACAAAAATTAATAAAAGAGTAATTAAATCAGTTAGAAAAAACTATTGATGGAGAGGGAGGAAGAAAGAGAGCCCATGATAACCATAACAACGGATCGCAACAGAGACTGGAGAGCACAAGGCCGTTCTCAAATATAGTTTCATTCCCTCCTACCATCTTTCTCATTTATTTCTACTGCAACCGTTGCCTCCTTCAAATTTCAGTTTGTAATCGTTGAGGTTTGTGAATCGTCGGATATATTGACGCAGAAAGCGAAATTTGTTTTCTTTTTATTTTCCTTAACAAATTGGCGGAAACCTGAGAGGATGACGAGCGAGCGTTGTTGCTCAAAATTAAACTATTTTTCATTGACGTGTGAATTAACCGTCAACAGGACTGGGAGATTGATACATCTGATTGTTTAGTGCTTCGTTTTGGCAGGCTTCTTGGGAGGTTTCGGGCTCAGCTGTGGAGAAAAGGTGGACACTTAGCATCTTCAACCATACCAAGATTACGTATCATTTTTAAATAACTCATTTTACTTCTAAAGGTTTTTTAATAAATTTTAAAATATTTAATCTTTTTTTTATTTACTTTTATATCTTTATTTTTATAAATTAATTAACGAATATTTTGATATACTTATTTTTATAATTTATTTGATAAAATAATTATAAAAAATTTAAATACTTATTTTTTTAATAAATAATTACTTTAAATTACTAATATTTTATTTAAATATCTCAATAAAAAAACTCTTTGAATTGTTGTTAACGATTTTAAAATTGGAAACCCCTGGAAAGGGAAAATTTGGCCAAGATATTTAGCCAGAGAAAAGAGTGTAGTTTTCAATTGCTTCTTGAGAATTTTCACTCTCAACTAGGACTAAGTTTTACGTTTGGAGTTTTTCTCTTTTCTGATCATCCACAGTTTATACCAGTGATAATGTATATATATATATATATATATATATATATATATATATATATATATATATATACTTTAATACTTAATACAGTGACGAATCTTATTATTAATCTTAAAAAAATTAAATAATATATTATCAATAAAAAATAAAAAAATAAAAAATTAAATTTATAAATAAATAAATATTATATTTAATAATTATTCAATATAGAATAAAAAAATCAAAATCATAAATATTAATATAAATTATAAAATTTTAAAAATAATAATTAAATTTTAAAGATTAAAATTATAAATATTAATATCCACCTTATCTCCCAAACGATTAGTTATTCATTTCATATATGTTGCATATACTTATATTTATATATAATTTTTCAGTTTAGAGTATTCGTAGTCACTCACTGGGAAAGGTTTGGTCTCACTCTAAATGACGTGTCAGCTCAATAAAAATCTTTGATCACATTATACAAGTGAGATTAAAGTGAATAAAAGAGAAAGTGTACTAGAAAGGTGTTTACTAATACCTCGTTCCCGTACAACTGTATATAAAAACTGGAGTCACTCACTATCAAATACATAGAACAAACAAAAGAAATACATAAAACAATAATAACCAGATAAATTAGTCTCTTAAAGCCCCAAATAAAATAATTATGTTCCATTCTTAACGACCTAGGTTAAAATTTTAACAACAAAATCCCTCGAGTACAACGGTTAAGTAAAAAAGACGTACCAACTTGCAAAACATGGAAAAGGGTAAAAAGAACAGCTCCCAGCACTCCAGGGTTTTGGAGGTTGTAGGGCTTGGGGTTAAAATGATATAACATGTCACCAAATACACTTGTAGGTAAACAAGTCTATATCTAATTTATTGTCTCCATACCATTGTCTCATGGTTTTCTGCATTTTGTTCATCTTTGAAATTGTCCCCTTCTAACAATTGAGTCAAGGTGTTTTCTTTTTTCTCGGCTTCACCAATATCATTGCAATTGCTCCCTTCTAACAATTGACCCGGAGGTTGCTCAGCTTTCTTGGCTTCATCTAAATCTCTGGAGCTCAAAAAACTTGGCTGGTTGGTCGAAGAAAGGAGTCTTGCCCACATTCTGTCAGTAATCACAACCTTGTTCTGTCTCTCAATGATTCTCTGGCATCAAAATTTGAGCATAAATTCTCTAATGTATACAGAACAATTATCATCTATGGAAAATATAAACCATCAGTGTAAAATGGAGAAGAAATAGAAAATAACTAGATGTGGTAAAACATAAAAAAAGGATGTATATTGTAAATATTATTCGTCCGTCCCAATGATAGTACTAGCTAAGTAGCAAATATCTCTACTTTTTTGTTTTTCTAGACCGCAGGTATTTTCCATAGAAGACAATCATGTTTAAGTCCAGCATATTCCAGTAAAAATTTTCCATACAAATAGATCTCAAAATCCAACCACTGAAAGCAACCACCCGTTGATATCAAACAAGAATAGAAAATTATTGTACCCAAACCAAAAAAAGAGGAACACATTATCAAACAGTCCAGAATTTGGGTAAGAATATGCGGTGACTCACATTGAATGGAATATAAGTATGTCTGCCATTGACCAGTCCAACTGTAAATCCAGTATACCCTGCCATTGCACCATGGACTGCACTCTGAGCAAGAAGTGTACAATAGACATTATCTGATGCATTGCTTGGAATTGCCCGGATCATGTAAGTTGGATCTAGCAGATACAAAAACACAACAAATTGGATAATTGCAACTAGGCAGATTGACTCGGTTAAAAATAAAGTAGTTGCCAAATTCAAATTTTAAGAAACCTTTGAAATTCCAAATGAAAATGGAAGACTAATTAAGCTATAAATAATAGGTCAAAAAGGAAGAAAATAATGTAAGAGAAACTGACCTATATATTTAAGATTGATAGGAATCTTATCCTTCCTTGCAAAGTGGTCCTATTACAAAATGACAAATGTTTTTTAAGGGGAAAGAGAGATTTGTACAAATTGATTTTTTTCAGACTAGAAAAAACCTAAAACACGGACTTGTAAATATAAAAAACAAAAAACTGGATAGACAATATAAAACTGCATACACGTATGTCATCTAGCAATTGGCTAAGATGGGGAGAAGTATGATAAATAATGAGTTTTTTACTGATAGGCAATGATTTTCACAGTAGTGATAGTGCAGAGGAAAAAGAATCAGGAAAAACTGAACTCAAAATGTTTCACCAAATAACACAAAAAATATCTAGACTATTTTAGTATTTTTAACAGTTCAATTATTCAAAAATGTTTTTAGTGCTGGGGCACAGGCAAAAATTAGATTATTATGGACGTCTATCTTAAGGGAGTGAAATACAGTCCTCCTTAAAGTTGAAATTAATCAAAAGAATATTGTTAGATAAACCACACTTCTGGTTAATTACAATACATCAGTAATTAGCCTGACTAAGTTAGTTGAGTGGAGATGACTAGAAGTATTAACGCAAGTTTCCTATAAATAAAATCAGGAAACTAAAAGGAAGGGATATCTTGTCATTAGAGAATGGGGAGAGAACAAGATCTCTTGCATACCTTGAGTGTTCCATACAAATTCATTTATTTTTTATATAATTCTGATCCAGTTTCTATCAAATATTGTCCAACCAATTAATATATAATTTGAAAGATCTCCCCAAGTGATTAATTCCTCACAGAGATGTACAATTAGGTAAGTAGAATTATACTACAAAATTTCCAAGAAAAAGAATTATGTTTTAAGAACTATATTGTGTACAATACCTTGATCTTATGAGATATCCATAAACCAACATCTTGGAGCAGTTTGTTTCCAGAAGCATCCTTCTGGTCCATGGCTTGCATGCTTTCAGTAAGAAGATCTTGACCTGCTCCCTCAGCTATGACTATGACCATATGTCCATTTTCCTTTAGCCTTTTCTCAATAAATTCAAAAAGACCACCCTTTCCTTCAAGGTAGAAGGGTGACTCTGGAATCAAGCAACAGTCCACATCTCTGCTAGCAAGAGTAGCATACATGGCAATAAAACCTGCAGTCATAGTACTCATTATAACACAGGAAAAGAAAAAAGGAAAACAAATAGATCCAGCTCCTTTAACACAACTGGTCCACTTCAGAGGATAAAATACACTTGTAATTGTTGATTAAAAAATGAACAGTTGTTTATGATACAATGAAATAAATTTATGAAAAAACTACAAAGTTAGTAACAATTTCAATCATTGTTTTTCTAATGAACAGTTATAAGTGCCTTTATCCTATAAATTGCACTTCACTCACTTTATAGGAGCCAACTCTAAAACGCACAAGTCTAATTGAAGAGAGCCAACAGTGAGATAAGTTAGGGCTTAAATAATCTGAATTAGATGCCTTAAAAAATATCAACAAAAGCAAAGTATTCATACCACTATAACGTCCCATTAGCTTTACAACACCAATACCATTCTCAATACTTTCAGATTCAACATGTGCTGCATTAATGGCACGTTGAGCTTCCTCAACCGCAGTATCAAAACCAAAGGATTTGTCAATAACCTAAAGAAAGAAAAAACATCCCCCATGAGTTTCATCAAACATAGATAGATAACCAACAGTTCAAATTAGAGCTCTGAAGGAACAAAATAACATGACTATTTGTACGCATACAGGAATGTCATTATCTATGGTTTTGGGAATTCCAGCAATTGCTACTTTCAGACCCCGCCGTCTAACTTCCTGTATGATACCGAAATCTATTCAGAATGGTTAAATCATATATTAAAAGATGTGAAGAATGATTGCAGGTAAACCAGGCATTAATAAAATGTATGCTACCAAATTCCTTTCAGTAAACATGCTCTTAACAATCCCTTCAAGCTACCATAAAAACTACATTTGAAACCCAACATAGTTTAAGGTGTTAAGATTCTATTGAATTTGCACTTAAGGGCCTAGGTCAATTTTGTCACTGAAACTACATTTACATGACACATTAACTATCATCATTGCCCTGTTTATTGGGAAGAAAAGACTAGCGCTCAAATGTAAAGCATAAAATGCATACAAGACAAAAATACAGTTCCAAACTTGGATAAATAGAAGAGATGAATGAGACTTTTCAGTAACTTTTAATAATCTATAATTTGTCATTTGAAAATATTTTATCTGTACTATCTTTTCTTAGTACGGTTAGCAATTAAAGTCAACATATGTAAGTTTATAAAATGTCAACTGAGATGCAGAAAGCAAATTAAACTTGGAATGCCTGATTAGCTGGCTTCATTAAACATAATCAAGAAATTCAACAAATAAACCAAAATAATGTACACAAATATGTCATTTTGTAATCTTTAAAAGGTGTATATTAAACATATTTTTCCTTCAATGAAATGATATTCTTATTTTTCTTATCATAGACCAAAGATAAAATAATTACATTATTAAAAACTTTGAATTGCTATACCTCATAAATCACAGTTGCTCCTCTCTGTGTACCATCTCCTCCAATAATATAGACCTGTAATAATAACCCTAACAATGAAAACCCATGCAATAAAATAATAATAACTTAGGTTTCATGATTGCTATAATAGAACTCTAAATTTGTGATTCCAACATTCATCATCATTACAAACTTCAGTATAGTACAGTTGACATGTGGTAAACCTGATTAATTCCTCGATCCTGGATGCTGTCAACTATCTTGCCAGTATCATGACCCCCTCGTGACGTCCCAAGAATTGTACCCCCACGCTTATGGATGTCATTGACCACCTTAGGTGTTAAAGTAATGGTGTTCTTGGAATAAAAACCTCTATAACCACCCTGTGTAGTATTGGATCCAATATAGCAGTGGAGACAATGGATTAGTAAGTGTAACTGATGTTAAAGGACCAATGGAGAGAAATGTGAATAGTTTTGTCTCCACGAAACCCAAAAGTTTGTTCAGTTAGATATCAATAGGAAATTCTCATTAAACACCTGCGTTTATTTGCTAGAACATGCAAAAACAATGAAATGCACTTGTCTCATGTAAACACTACATCACACTTTCGTATTCAATATGCTGTCTGTTGAAGGTAAATACCAGAATATAGGATTCGTCTAACCTACCAGCTATTGGAATGCTTTCAGCTTACCATTGTTACTAATGCTTTATTCACATATGTTATCATCATGGCAAGAATTGTTTAAAACGAAGGCTCATGATCTGTTGCATAGCCATAGGTCATCAAAATATTGGTTTGTTTTGTTACTATAATTCTAAACTGGCTCACTAACAACAAAACAGTTAATTTACAGATCTAATGTGATAAAGAAAAACCAAGATATGAAAGCTAGAATTTGCTTGAAACAAACATTAAAATGATCATAAAGACAATTAGATGTGTCCAGAAACATTTAATGACAGCTAGTTTGGATGAACTACCTAATACACGTTTATGAGAGAAGAAAATAGAATGAATTAAAGAGATAAGATGAATCTAATTTCTTGCTGAGTTTAAATTAATTTACGAATCTTAACCTTCTTCTAAAGCCTTTTCATTTAACTTCTCCATGAGCACTTATAAATTAAACACAATTTGGTATTCTTATTTTAGAAAGTCTTTAACAAAAGCTCTCATAAGCTAGAAGCTAATTCTAACTGAGATTTAACTCAAAAGGTTGCAACTTAGACTTACATTTAAATGTATTCAGGAATGCCTCTAAAAAAAGAAAATAGGGAATAAATTCAAACCAAGAGTGTGTAAAAAATCAGAGTCTGTTTGATTGATTGTTCCGTAAAATATCCATACAATTATATTTACAAGGATGAAATAAAATGTACACACACAAAGAAGTCACGAGAGAGAGCACATCATAGGATATATAATCCAGGGCAACAGATTAATGTATGAACATATATCAAAAGAGAATTTACTCACTCACATCTATGCCAAGGACTTTGTTAACACCATACATGTACGAAAGACCACAGACAATTTCCCTGATAACAGTGTTGAGGCCAGGGCAGAGTCCACCGCACGTGACAATGCATGCGTGGACCTCATCTGATCTAAAGTATACCTAAAAAGCATTAGATTAGGTGTCGGTGAGTTGAAACAGAATTGATTATTCATTCTCAAATATTCTTAAAATATGCACTGACAACCAAGGGAAATCACCTTTTGTCGAGGTCCGGCACGTCTAAAATGTACACCTCTTGGACTATCCTTGTGAACAACAACCTATTGAAAAGGCCAAATAAAAGCATAAACAACAATGTACCTTGTTAATGCTGATATATAAGAAATAAATCCACGGTTTCATTTTTATTTTCCTTCTTCACCATCGGAAAAAAATTAAAAAAGAGGTTCAGACTACTCTTTTCATCAACGGTAATTGATTAAGAATGAAAGCAATGGAAAATTTTCATGTTCCGCCACTCATCCAACAAAGCGATAACACTTAATTCAATCACAAAGTCGTTGTTGATACTCGATAGGTCAAGCAACGCAAAAAGACATAGCAAAAGCATTTGAGATTGCTGAAACGGGCAAATAAAATACACAAACAGTTAGCCGGCGTATGTAAAAACAGATAGAACCTTCTGAGGGACAGTGTCGTCCATGTGCACGAAATACTGCCTGAAGAAGAAAACAAATACAGAGAATCAACGTTTCGAACAGATCACATTCCATTCTCAGATCGCAATCACAGCACTAAACAAAGCGATTCACTTACTTGACAACCGAGTAAGCAGGATTGGATCGAAGCGGATTCGGATACGTCTGCAAAAAAAAAAAAAAAAGTATTACACAAACAAGCGCGAGTGAATGCGTCAATGCAACGCAGTTCCCATATGTTATTGAATAATTCCTAAGAGAGAGAGAGAGATACAGGTAGATTTTGAATGTAGTCGGTGAAATGAGGAACGTCTTCGAGTATGTAACCAGCGTCGCCATGGACGATCTTCATCTGCGAATCAGAATCGCTGGACGCCATTGTTCTTCTCTATAGAATATTCGTGATTTCTCTGTTGTTTTCTTTGCAGGTTTTTTTTTTGGAATGTGGAGTGAGTGAACGCCGAAGCATAAAGAGGGTTGAATGAGTGTGAAAAAATAAAGAACGCGTGGGTGTGCGCGGATTAATTTAGTTTCAACGAGAATCTTAGTCCTGACAGGTCACAATGGATCTGGACCGTCCGCGTGTATCCGTTTTCGTGATCGCGGAGATGAACGATCAAGATTGAATCTTACAGGAGAGTGAAGTTCAGTGTGCGCGAAGAGTGCTTCCGAAATCCAAAGGACTCGGTTTTACCAAGATGCAGAGTGGTCGCACAAAACCGGTGGCGCAGTTTTACCGGATACTGTTCAATCTAAACAACACAAAGTTGTACCACCGCTGATTTGGACTTCCACGTTTACTTGTAGAAGCAGTATTTCCTTGCTTTCCATGTGTGTTCGGACAATTTCTTTTTAAAATAGGTATATATTGTTGTTTCATATTACATCTATCTTTTTATATATGTTATATAAGTAACTTTAAAAATATATAACACATTTAATAGTTTTATTATATTTTTTTCCTTGGAGATAAAATCACTCTTTTGTGGTATATTAAAAAAATAAAATATATTACCATTATTTTACATAGAAGTAATATATTAAAAAATAATTATACGTGTCTAAGTAAAATATAATTACAATGTCAAAATAAATTGTTGAACGAAAAAATAAGAATAATATTAAAAAATAAAATTATACAATATATTAAGATTAGAGAAAATTATGAGCATAAAGTCTACTTAGCTATCTAATGTGTCAAAAAATAAATATATTCTTTAATGGAACAATGGTTTAAAAGTACTCTACATAATTTTAAAAATATAAATTTAAGTTAAAAAAACATTCTTAAAATCAATTCCTGGATGTGAGTATTCATTTTCCAATTCTCTTCCATCATAATTTTTTCATTAAAAGAGATACAAGTGAATTAATATATAAATTACTCTCGCTTTGCAATAAAAAAATCTTTTGTGACAATATTATAATCATTCATTTAAAACAGGGAATGATTGAAAATAACTAAATATAATAAATTTATAAATTTTATCCTCATTGGCATTGTTTAATTTTGAAAATAAAACATGTATGGAAAGGTGTAATGCAAACCACTGTCTATAATAATATAATTTAAGTTAGAAAAATTATTTATTAATAGTTACTCATATAATTATTTTAAAGTATTTAATTTGTTTTATATCATTTCAGATTGTCTCTCATTTAATTTTTAAGTTGTTTAATGATAATTATTATATTATGATATACGTAAAAAAAGTGTAAACTATTAAAGATATTATAGTCGTTATTTTATTAATTAAAAAAATTATATATATATATTTATGAAAATACAGATTTTAAAATGTTTGACGATCTATATTTATTACTTTTTAAATGTACATTATTCATATTTTATTATTATTATTTATTTATTCTCTCTTTTGTATTATTTTTTAATATATATTAAAAAAAACAAATATTACAAACGACGAAAAAAATAGTTACATCAAAGAAAAATCTTTATGTATAGTATAAATTTTATAAATGTGTCCCCAGAGAAACATATTCTTTCTCGTTATTTGTTATTTCCAAATTTTTTGTTGACCTGTTCAACATTTTCAAATTAGCTTAATTTTATTATTATAAAATGAAGTTGGTAATATCTGACGAATTGTGACTTTTGAAAATACTATTAAGATTTTTTTGAGATTTTTTTTTCATCTGAAATTGAATGAATAAATTAAATCATAGTGCGTAAAATGCTCATATATTCGAGGGGAATTTTGACTCAAAATCTAATCATTCTATGGTGATTATTCATTAAGTTTCAATTATTCATAATAAATAGATATTTCATCACATTTTTTCTAGTAAGATTTTTTTAATTATCTCAACATCTTTAAAATTATCTCATATTATTTATATATATATATATATATGTATATATATATAAATTAATATTTAAGATAATATTTAAATTCAACTATATAGTATGTTTACGCAAATTTAGTCATGATATTTCATAATATTTTAAGAGATTTTTGTTATTATATTTCTTATACCAAGGAAATCGAATGGAGTGTAATGAGTGAGAAAATAAAACAAAATCTTGTATTAATCAAAATATATGATAATTTATTTAATATGTAGGTGAATATTAATATTATTTTATTTAATTGATTTTATGAAATTAAATTAAAATTTTATTTAAAAAATAATATTAAAATTAATTGAAAGACCCTTAAAAATAATAAATGTGATAAAAATCACTTTTAAAAGTGTACTAAAAAATGAAATAAAAAAATAAACAATATTGATTAAAAATATAATAATATATTTAAGCGATATTTAATATTTAAAATAAATTATCATTTATATATAACAAGAAAATTTTATAAAAAAATATTAAAAGATGTAACACTATAACTAATAAATTTAAAAGATTTTATATTTAAACTTTTAAAAAGAGTTAATTAAAAGAAGTTACTATTGCAATAATGTAATCAGTATAATATATAATTATAATAATATAATTATTATACATATAAATAATATTATAAAAATTAAAGTTCAAACCAAATTGAAAAACTTAAAACATAACAAGAAAGAGAATCATCTACTAACCCTAATGAACCCTCAATCTATATCAAGGTTTCAACCAAAAACATCATTTTCAACATGAAACAAATTTCACAATACTCCCATATCAGTATATTAGTGAAAGAATTTAGCTCAATTGATTGAGAATGATAGGTGAATTGTTACAAATCCTCTTACATAGGTTGAATGTCAACTGATAAAGAATAATATATATGTATATATATATGTATATACACTATATCAAGGGTATTTGAGATTTAAAAAAGAATAATTTAACACCTTTTTTTAAACATTATATTTATTCCAACATTATGTGCCTAAGCATGTTAATATAATAAGATTATTTTTGAAGATGATATACTAATTTATTATATTTATTATTTGTTATGATATTACTTGTGTAAACATAATCATTTTCAATCGATTATATCAATCATTTTAAACCACAATCCATTTATTAAAATTAGCTAAATATTAAAAGTAAATTTAAAACTGTATTTGTATTGAATTTTTTATTCGTAGTTGCAGTAAGAATTTAAGTTTATAAATGTTTTAATTTTTGCAATAACAATTTAATTATAAATGTTTTAACAACATGAATACGTGAAACTTGATTATATTTTATTTGCTTTAATACTATTAATTTTGTTAAATAGATTTATATAAAAGATGGAAACATATATATATATATATATATAATGTTTATATAACTCAATTATACTAGTATTTTATATATTTATAACTTAAAAATGAGTAAAAAATATTTATAACTTAATTTTTTAATATTAATTATATGTATTTTTTATAATATGTATAGTATTTAACTTCAAACATGGTTTTTTGAGTGCTGAACAGAGCTTAAAAGCAACACAATGGATAAGAAGTGTGAAACCGAAAGTTCTAGTCCTAAGGAAGACAGAATTACTGTCTTTCTCTCACTTAACAAAATAAAAAATCTCAAACTTTATTTGACTATTTGAGGCGAGATAGGAATTAAAAAAAAGAAGAAAAAAAGGGTACAGGTGGAACGTTGGGAGTGGATACAACGACGTTAACACAACACGAGTTCGGTCCGCGTAATAAAAATCAGTTTTTAAAGTTTCATTTGCGATTGCGCATCCACCCCAAACGCTCCCTTGACCCACCCAACCCAAACCCCAAATCCGAAACCGTCCTATTCCTCGTTCGAATCAGGGGCATCTGTGAACTGGAACAACCAGATGCCAGCGATTTGAGCGATACTTAGTGAAGGAGCTGCGTAGTGCGTTTCGCTCTTCCAAATGGCGGTTTCCGATAGTCCCAGCGGTGGCTCCACGCCGCCTCAACAGGAACAAGCCAACAAGTACGGTTTCACCAAGCCTCTCTCCCTTGCGGGTCCCACCGACGCTGATCTCCAACGTAACAACGAATTAGAGAAGGTAATTAGTTTCTGATTCGCCTCATCTGCGATTGTTTAGGGCCCCACGCTTTCGCATTCTCGCTTCGTGTGATGCTTAAACCTCGAATTCGTTTTTTTTTTTGCTTCAGTTCTTGCTCGAATCGGGGCTCTACGAGAGCAATGATGAATCCGCGGCGAGGAAAGAGGTTCTCCACCGCCTCGATCAGGTTAACTGCTTCTTCGATCTCGCGTTTGTTGTTATTTGAGCATTGATTACTGCGGCGGTGTTTTGTTTTATTCTCCTGTTCAATTTATGTAAAGTTCTATTGGAGTATGGTGAATTTTGTTTCATATTGAGGAACAAGATTTGGATTGAAACCTTTATGCTTGTTTAGGGTTATACTGGGCTTTTGAATGGTGCCCTTTCTTGTTGTGATTGAAGATTTTCACTGTCCTCTGGATTTGAATTTTGTAATGACAAGGTTTTTCCTGTAATGTAGATTGTGAAAAGCTGGGTGAAGCAGTTGACGCGCCAACGTGGCTACACAGATCAGATGGTTGAGGATGCAAACGCTGTCATTTTCACTTTTGGTTCTTACCGGCTAGGGGTAAGTGCCACGGTGACCTTTTCGTGACGTATGCCATTAGCCATTTTCTGTTGATTGTTTGGATTATGGAGATTTAAATCAGAGGGCTTGGGTTGCTTGAGTTCAAATGTGGTAGATTTCTCCAGAGTATGCTTGTCTTGTTTAGATTCACCTTAGAAATTAGCAAGGACATGAATTTTCTGTAGCAGAAGGAACTTAAATCTGGACGTAGGAGAGAGTTGTAGGAGAGAGTTGAAGGAGAAATATTTAATGAGATAAGAGTGCATCTATTGTTATTAGGATTTGGGAATAGTTTGAAGTCTGAGGATACTTGGTGGATCCTTATGCTTAACACTTTATAGCTGCCTAAAGAAAGAGATCCGGTTGTTGTTAAGCATTTGCTGATGAAATTTTGTTAATGTATAAAGTTTAATTCTCCTGGACTAGAGAGTGCTGAAGTTCCAATTATATAAGCCTTTTGTTCGTAACAATATTCATGTTTTAACAATTTGCAGGTTCATGGACCTGGAGTTGATATTGACACTTTGTGCATTGGTCCTTCTTATGTGAATCGAGAGGTGACACACTGCTTCTGGTTACTTTTCCTCAATTTAGTAAAATCCCTGACATTGGTTATATTTTAGCCAATTTCTCTCTTCTGCAGGAAGATTTCTTCATCATTTTGCATAACATTTTAGCTGAAATGGAAGAAGTTTCCGAACTTCAACCAGTTCCTGATGCACATGTTCCAGTAATGAAATTCAAATTCCAGGGAATATCTATAGATTTGCTGTATGCCAGTATATCAATTTTGGTTGTGCCAGAAGTAAGTTTAGTTATTCATTCATCCTGAAAGCACTTTGTTGCGGGGGACAATTTTATTGAAACTGCAGTTTTCTTAGGTTGAGAATTTGAAGACTTCCTAACTTAAGCACACTGTCCTTCATAAAGCTTTTAGAATTTAATCCAACCATGGGCCCTATATAAGTAATGCTTTCATTTTGTTATTTATCTCTCTTTTCTGTTTTTAGCATGTTTGATATGGGGGTAGGATATTTATCTTTTTTCACCCCCTTACATAGAACATTCTAGGCTTATGTAGCACATGTAAGTTTTGCTGATCTAAATTTATTCATGCAGTTTATTGAGTTTGCTAAATTATATTTGTTCTAAAAGGTTGTAAATCAGTATTGTATTTATACCTAGGTGCCATGTTTCCATTTCCATTTCCTGTTTGTTAAGGTTCCAACATAAAATCAATTGGCTATACGTGGAGTAGCCTAACATGTATTTAAACCATACCAAATGATATGAGATAGGCAATGTGAGACTTTTAACATGCCCCCTGCCGGACCAGGCAATGGTACTTTTGACCCAACTAAAGGGCAACTTTTGACCCATGACAATAACCGGAAAGATGTTAGGCTTTGACTCTAATACCATGTTAAGGTTCCAACATAAAACCAATTGGCTATATGTGGAGTAGCCTAACATGTATTTAAATCATACTAAATGACATAAGGTAGGCGATGTGAGACTTTCAACACTGTTGCCTTTTTGCATTCTAATGGGAAGGAAAGAAAACACAGATAACCATGTCTTTTTTCTTCTGTTTGGTTGAAGAGAAAATGGAAGGAAAAAGAAGGAAAAGTTGATTTTATCAAAATATTCTTTACCTTCCATTTTTCTTCAATTCTGATTTCAAAATTTCTCTCCTGCCTTCCTTCATTCCAAACAGGCAATTAGAGAAAACGTGTGTTTCTTTTGGTTGTACTTTCTCAGTCTTCTACCTCAGAATCTAGTTTTATTTAAATGTGCCTTTATATTGATATAGTTTTCTGACATACTTATTATCTACAGGACCTAGATATCTCACATGGTTCAGTGCTGTATGATGTTGATGAACCAACTGTTCGAAGTCTTAATGGCTGCCGGGTGGCAGATCAAATTCTTAAACTTGTTCCAAATATTGAGGTTAATATATATGTTTTTTAGTTTGATTGAATAATGTATTAGATTTAATGGTTGTTTATCTTATTAATTTGATAGTCCATTAACCCTTGATAATGATAGCACTTCCGAACTACACTGAGATGCTTAAAGTTTTGGGCTAAAAGACGTGGTGTTTATTCAAATGTAAGAGCGCAGGACCTACATTCTTAGGTTTTATATTATATTTTAACACCAATGACATTGGGTTTTATAATCATCTTAAATACTGTTTTTTGGTGTGCTTAGGTTACTGGATTCCTTGGTGGTGTAAATTGGGCTATTTTAGTTGCTCGAATATGCCAGCTTTACCCTAATGCAATCCCTAGTATGTTGGTTTCTCGATTCTTCAGGGTCTATACGCAGTGGCGGTGGCCAAACCCTGTAATGCTATGCTCTATAGAAGAGAATGAACTTGGGTTCCCTATATGGGATCCTCGTAGAAATCCACGAGATAGATTTCACACTATGCCAATAATTACTCCTGCATACCCTTGCATGAATTCAAGCTACAATGTCTCAGCAAGCACCCTACGTGTTATGATGGAACAGTTTCGCTATGGCAATAAGATTTGTGATGTAAGATAAGTCTATTATTGCTTGGTTTATTTTATTTTATTCTGGCTATATTTAATTGATACTTCTACTGTTAGGAAATTGACCTTAATAAAGCCCAGTGGAGCGCACTTTTTCAGCCTTACATGTTTTTTGAAGCATACAAAAACTATTTACAAGTGGACATAATTGCATCAGACACTGATGATTTACTAGCGTGGAAGGGCTGGGTAGAATCTCGGTTGAGGCTGCTTACCCTGAAGGTACAGTCTTGTAATAGTTCGGTTCAAGACTTCCCTACTGTATTGGGTTTAATCAAATTCAGTTCTATATTGAAAATATATAATACCATTTGGTAAATTTTTTTTTCTCCGAAGTAGTCTTATCATGGTTTGGTAACAAACTTTCATGAACCGTGTTTAATCGAATACTGTTTTTTATTCATTAATAATATTTAAATGCCGAACATTTATGTATATTCTTTTCTCTCCCATGTATTAAACATTGACATATGCTTTTAAATTATCCGTGAGTAGATAGAACGAGATACAAATGGGATGCTGCAGTGCCATCCTTACCCGCATGAGTATATAGACACATCCAAGCCTTGTGCACATTCTGCATTTTTCATGGGCTTGCAAAGAAAAGAGGGAGTAAGAGGTCAAGAGGGGCAGCAATTTGATATACGTGGAACGGTTGATGAGTTCAGACAAGAAATAAATATGTATATCTACTGGAAGCCAGGGATGGAAATTTTTGTTTCTCATGTTCGTCGAAAGCAGCTCCCTGCATTTGTTTTTCCTGATGGTTACAAACGCACTAGAATGCCAAGGCACATTAGCCATACAACTGAAAAAACAGGTGACGATGCTACAAAGTGCTACTCTGGGTCTGGGCCATCTGAAAGATGCATCAAGAGGAAAAGTTACCCTGAAATGGTGGATAAGAAGCCAGACAAACCAGATAAACGGGCATCTATTAGCCCACAGAGGTTAGAATGCGTTTCTCCTGAAAGTTGTACTAGTAAATCAGGTGGTACAACTCAAATGAGTATTGATAGTATTGAAGGGGTTTGTTTAGCTGGTTCAAAAACCAACGTTGCTAACAGCAATTGTGAAATTAAGTCATCTGATGTACTCCCAGGAAGTGGACTAAGCACTGAGGTAGCTGACATGCAGATTAGTGAACCAGGTTTTGTTGACGCCACACATGATATGTTGAAATCTAGGAGTGTAGAAATTCCAAATGAGGTAAGCTGCTGAATCAGTGGAGGAACCTTTGGAAGTTGTTTGGTTCATGTGAACTTCCTTAATTAGAAGTTGGTGATGCATTTCAGAATGGAGTTGTCAATGGGGACAAAGCTCAGAATCTGGCTTTAGATTGCTTGGAAAGTGCAGAAACTGAATCTACTAATAGCTTGTCAAACTGTAAAGAGGATGTCGTTGATATGGATAGGCAACTAGACAAAGCATGTAATTTCGTCACAAGGGATGAATGCTCAGATTATGTACCGAATGCCAGGCCCCGGAACCTCAATTGCGAGGTGAGTTATTTCGTTCGAGGACTTTTTGGATTAGGAACTGTTGTGGATGGCAGTGAAAAAAACTGGAAGTCTGGGAGATAGTGAGTCAGGGATCTTTGCAGGGTGATGTTTGTGTGGCTGATCCAGATCAGTTCTGAAGAGAGTGGGTGTTTTCTTGGAAATAGACTATTTCAAAATATCAGGGCTCAAGAATATAAGGTTTTGAATTTTCTAATCTCTTTTGTTTTCTTGGTAATAAAGGCTATCTGATCTTATAATAATAGTATTCAGTTCACCTCATCCTTTGCTTCATGCCTTTATGGCACTTACGAAAATTTTATATTTCATGATTTTTCAGAATGAATAAAAAGTCTAATCGGGTTTCGAGTTTTGGTCTGATTGACTTTTTTTTTTCCTTTTATTATAGCTTTGTTTGCATATTTATAGCCAAATTCAGATTATGGCCTGCCCCTTTTCTCTTCCCTTCTTGTGTCTTCTTGCTATAAACAACTGTTTTTATCTTATATATTTTTCCTGTTCCTTTCAAGATAATTTGACTATCAATTTCCATGGTAATTGAGTTTCATAGTTTTCTGACTGGTGAATATGTGGTCGCAGGTCCTGCACCACTATACGTGCTATGTTTCCAGTAACTGTGCTTAAGAACCTAACTTGTTTTGTGTATAAGAGAGGCTCAGAGACCAGACCTTCCTTTTGTTTCATTTTACAATTTTATGTTTAATACATTTTTCCCTAATTGTTATTATTCTTTCTCTTTTCTACATTGTGTATAGCCAGATTTCAGACTCAGAAGTGTTGTAAAATTGAAGATGGGCTAGGTCAGAATCTCTGGGGAACTTGTGAAAAGACATGTTTTTCACTTCTATGTGAATAAGAATGTTGTTATACTGTGCTCTTTGGTTTTGGTTTTGTAGGTGGACGAGTTTGGAGTGAATCACACAATATTTGGGAGGTTCATGGCTGAAATTCTTGCCACGCTGCCACCTTGTGCTATGTTGTGGCTGTTGCTGTACTGATATCCTGTGAGGGACTACGGCTTTAATTGAACAATGAAGAACAGATACAACAAATGATGGCAGTTAAAGAGATTGGGGCATGGTGTTTGCGATGATCGTTTGTGTACATAGATAAAACAGCATGACGGAGACGCTAAAAAGTATGGTCACATCCTTTTGTTTGAAACATGGGTCATCTCATCTTCAGAGCTCCGAATTGTCTCATAAACCTTAACATATCTACTTACCTTGGATTTTAAAGGAGTGGAAACTTTGTTGTTTTCTTGTGCCGTTGATGTGATCGATACATTATGTAAATGTAACAAATGGCTACTTTAGCTAGGTTATTTGGAAGAGAAAACGGTAAAACAAAATATTTTGGCGGCAGAATAGGGTCGTCTTCCTTGTCTATCCTTTCATAGGAAGTTCGGGGGAAGGATCACTCTTTCCATATGGGGTTTCGTTGGTCTTTCAATTTAGTGAACACTGGTGAAAATAGTTTCTTTCATTAGTGTTTTCACATGGTTTTCTTTTTTTCTTTTCGTTACTTAATTTGTTTGGTATTTATTTTGCTTTAGAGTGTGAATGATAAACCCAATGAAACATAATTATATTGAATTTCGTACTAAAACTTAGTTAAATATTGAGGTGTTACATGTTAATCATATCCAAAACTTGCGTCACTAGCCCCATGAAACACTAGGTCACTGGTACAAATGTAACAAACTTTACGATATTTTTTGCTACTTTTGTTTCTTTATAATTCTTTCCGTTATTATGTTATCTCGTCTCTCTGCCTCACTTTCTTCGCATACGTTGCAAGATCTGTCATAGAAAAACTTGTGTGGAGTATATTATTCACTTGTGTGCAAAATAATACTCAACGAGTTCATGTGAAAGCGATAGTAATTTACATCGAATTATTCACTCGTGCATGATACTTACATGGCGTACAAACAGCTTTCTTAATTTTTACTGGCAGGGCTCCCTTTGTAACTAGAAATATACCTTGTATCACCAGGACGGGTCAGCATTACTCTCCTTGTAACTACAAACGTACCTTGTGTCACTAAGAAGAGGAGCGATATCAAACTCATTTCCCACTCTTCTACGTGTAGAACCTGAATGACAACACCTACGAAGAACTTGCAAAATCTCCTTCGTGGAAGGCCTAGTTGAGGGTAAGGAGCTTGTGCAAAGGAGGCCCAATTTGAAGACATTAGTCATCTCTTCTGCATAACGTTGTTCTTTGACATCCTCATCGAATGCATCAGTAAGGTTCTTCCCTTTAGTAAAATGCTCCCACGCCCATTCAACTAGGCTGTATGCATTCTCGCCTCCTAAATTGGGCTTTCTTCCCGTCACAAGCTCTAAAAGCACAACGCCAAAGCTATAAGCATCAACTTTCTCGTTAATCTTAGTTGAATACGCGTATTCTGCAATGCAAGCGAAGGATGTGATCAGATGAGCTTAGTTCATTTATCAATGCAAAAACTTGTAGATGGAAATTTAGCATCGTTTTACCTGGTGGAATGTAGCCAAAAGAGCCTGCTAGAGTAGACATGGTGTGTAGTTCCCCGGGCTTTGCCAACATCTTGGCGAGCCCAAAATCTGCTATTTTAGCTCTGAACTCTGAGTCCAACAGTATATTGCTAGATTTGACATCGCGGTGGATGACGGGGGGTGAGCATTCATGGTGCATATAACACAGACCTTGTGCAGCCCCAATGGCAATATTCAACCTCGTTGGCCAGCTCAACCCAGTAGGCGATGTTTTCTTCTCTGCATGAAGCCATTTGTCCAGGCTCTGATTTTCCATGTATTCATAAACTAGAAGTTTGGAATTCTCACTGGAATAGCAGCACAAAAGCTTCACTATATTCGAGTGCCGAATATTGCCCAGAATCTCAACCTCAGCCTGGAACTCTTTCTCCAACTTGTCATCCACATCTTTGCAATTCCAGATCTTCTTCACGGCAACATACTCACCTGGACGATTTGAAGCAATCCGATAAACTTTACCAAACCCTCCACTTCCTATAAGGTTATTATCTGTCAAACTTGAGAGGAAGTTTATTTCGGTGAGGTCAAGCCTCTGAAATGAAGTGAGCCTCCACGTTGCAACCTTATTATTATGCCCGCAGTGCTTTTTGCCCCATTGCGTTTTCAACGTATAGAAGACCAAGGAAGCTATGGCGAGCAGCACAACGGTGGTGGCAGCCAGAATCAGGGCCAGTGATTTCGAAGACGAATTGCTCGACTGTGGTGCCGCTGACGCGGTTTTCGTCAAGCAGTTAGCAAGTTGGACGTTTGGATTGTAAGCACATAGATGAGGATTGTTCAAGAAACTGTTTTCAAACGCGAGGTTATTGAACTCATCAGGGATTTTCCCAGATAGCTGGTTGGAGGACAAGTTGAGGAAAACAAACTTCAACCTATCGAACTTGGGAGGGATTGCACCCGATATGCCATTTTGAGACAAGTCCAGGTAAGTCAGGCGGGGAAGAGCAGTAATAGCTGGGGGAATCTGGCCAGAAAGCTTGTTTCGTGATAGTGTCAGCGTGTTCAGTGATTGCCACGAAATAATCTCTGACGGAAGTGCACCCGAAAGTTGGTTACCATCCAGCATGAGAGTACTAAGCCCAGAAAGTTGCGTCAGTTTCCTTGGAATTTCACCTGAAAGCATGTTGTTTCTCGCATCAAGAAATAGCAGATTTTTGGCTGCAGTAATCCCAACAGATATCCCACCCGAGAAGTTGTTGTTGGCGATCTCCAGCCTCGTTAAATTCCAAAACAATTTACTAGGAAGAGGCCCAGAAAAGGAGTTGTTGCTCAAAATCAAGGACGAAAGGTTACTCGTAGTCCACAAACCCAAAGGAACCTCCCCCGAAAATTTGTTATTATAAACCTGAACCGTGTCGAGAGAAGGACAATTCCCAATCCACTCAGGCAAAACCCCACTAAAATTATTGGAAAAAACAATCACACCGATTAGGGCACCACCTGCACACAAATGTTCTGGCAACCCACCACTGAGTTGGTTGTCAGAAACCTCAAACATTCTAAGCTTGGAATGCAAGCCTAGTTCTGGAGGCAGAGTTCCACTCAAGTTATTTTTGAAAACTCTGAAATACTCAAGACTAGGAATTAGGCTTAAACTTCTGGGAATTTCACCGCACAGGTGATTCTCGTACAAGTGCAAGGTATTCAAGTTCTTTAACTGTCCAAACTCTTGGGGTATGAAACCTGTCAAATTATTTTTAGCGAAATCAACGTCGATTAGTTCCAAACCCTGCATCGAAGCACTAGGAATCACACCCGACAACCTGTTACTGTACAGGTACAAGAAATTCAACTTCCTCAACGAGAACAAACTCCTAGGAATGCTCCCTGATAAATTGTTCATCGCCAAATCCAACCGTTCGAGATTCGTGAAAATATTCCCGAAATATTCCGGAATCTCTCCGATCAAGTTACACTGCGGCATATACATCTGCCTCAAATTTCTTAATCCCCTAAACTCCAACGGGATTTTCCACGGCGCGAGCTTTAGATTATAAGCCAAACCCAAGAACTCGAGGTTGGACAAGTTTCCAATTTCCTTGGCGACAGTTCCGTTGAAGTTGTTTTGGAAAAGATGCAGCGTTTGCAGTTCCCGCAGGTTCCCTATCGCCGCCGGGATGTCGCCGGAGAAGGAGTTGGCGCTGAGGCGGAGGTCAGTGAGGGTTTTGAGGCGGTCCACGTCAGTGGGGATGACACCAGCGAGGCAGTTCTGCGACAGGTTAAGGTTCCGGAGGTTGGAGCAGGCGTACAAGGTTGTCGGAAACTCGCCGGCGATGGAGTTGTTGAAAAGGTCAAGCATGATGAGGTGTTTGAGGTTGCAGATTGTGGAAGGGAGGTTCTTGGTGGTGGTGATGTTTTTACTGGAGAGGAGAAGCTTCGTGACGGCGCCGCCGCTGCAGCTAATCCCAGTCCAGTCGCACGGCGCCGATGGCGACGGTTTCCATGATCGGAGCGACGGTGGGTCCCCCAGTTCACGTTTGAGTGTGAGTAGGATTGTTTGTTCGGTTTCTGAAATTACCTGAGAGGGTACAGCGACGTTGATTAAGAGAAGCAAATGAAAGGCAACGAAGAGGGGTAATTTGGACATTTCGTCTTTCAGTTAAGTTTTTTGCCGGGAAAATGTGATCATCAAAATTCGAACATGAAGAGCTTCAGGTTTGGCTCTGTCTCTCTTTACTACTCTCTTATGCGGGTGTGTTTGTCTGTGATATGTTTGAATGTTTTGATGTGTTGTGATATGTGAAATGAGTTTATTATATATTGAAAATAATCACGGGAAAAATAATATAAGCACTAACAAATGAACTTTAATTACATGGGTGAAGCTGAAAGCGATGGAAGCTAGACATAAATGTTAAGAGTTTCATTCAAACACGACTTATTAGGATCTTGTGTGGCATTTGCTGGATTTTTTCAGTGGATACCTTTGGTTAGTTAAAACTACACAATTGAAAGGACATGTCATCATTTTTTTTTTGCTCTTCAATTTTTTTTTTTGGGTTCCATTTGCTACCATCGATTCTCTGGGAAATTGATTTGGTGAATTGGGCCACAAACGCATCGATGAAGGAAAAGATAAAGTTAGGGAACAGTGTAGGAGTGAATATCTTCATGTTGCTTGATTGAAGCACGCTACCTTGAAATTTTGTAGCACAACCCAACATTCTTTTTGAAAGAATATTGATTCTAGATGGGACAAACCATACGTAATATCCTATATCTAGACATTTTTTCCAGCATTTTCGAAAAATTAAGGTACACACCCCTTTTTAAATCCCTGATTATAGAACGCCTTTCTTAATTATATTATTGTTTCTATTGACGATGAATATAATTTTGAAAAAGAGCATACATTCCTTCATTTTAGAAAGTGGAATTTTGGAAATTGTGTAACAATGTCTACTAAAACATAGGTTATGAATTGAACCTAAGAGTCGGTGTATATTTAATTCAAGTTATTCTAGTGATATAATTAGTAATTTTATCAACATCTTTAGATATTTCTTAACATAGCTATTTAATGGAATTACTACATGCACTAGTTCTTTTTTTCCTTAGCAAATAAATATTCATATTATATAAAAATGTATAGAAATAGTTGGGACAAGAAAATACCATATACAGAAGAATCTAAGCTAAAACACTTGAATAAAGAAGGAAGGTTATATAACATTTAGGAATAGAAACATTAAATACTAGATTACATTTGTGAAATGAACAAACCCAAAAGCTACAATTTCTAGCTAAATTTCCAGCCAAAGCACACCCAAATTCTTTGTACAACATTCTTTCCTGTAATTTTAGAAAACCATTCTCCACAGCAGAAACATAAAGACCATAATTAATGAATTAATTCTTGTCTAATTAGTGTATGATAACTTTCAAAGGTTGCAAAATATTTGTGAGAAATAATTCATGACTATTTGGTGATCTTCTTTCCATTCCAACACATCAAGTTCCTGTATTATATATTGTACCATTCAACTAATTGTCGTAAAGACCCTATAATGCTCTTTGCACTCAATAATTGACTAAAATGTAAATAACACATACTCTACACCTCCATTTTAGCTCTTGCAATCCTGTGGAAAGTGAAGGAAAGTAGAACCATATCATGTGCCTGTGATTCTGAATTTCCCAACTTGAATTTGATTACCTATGAATGAAACCACTTAGAAGAATCTCTCCAAACAGGAGACTGCATAATTAATTTCTTTATGTATATCATACTCATGAAATTTCGGTATCAGACTCAAATTTTTAACTTCATTTTTGCCCCCACAGTCTTCTCATGACTCGTCCCATGTGGTCAATTCTCACGAGGCAACCATGAAACTAATTGAGATTAGTAACAATGGAAATGTCAATAAGTGGTTAGGAAAGTTGCCGTTTCATTAGTATATTCTAAGTGGTGCGTTTTTGTGGCTAACCAGAGTGTTATTTTAGTCAAACTTTCCACAGACAACATAATTTTAACTGCCATGTTCTTGGTGCTATTGCATGTTAAAATTAACCAAGATACTTCATTCAAAAGTGACTTCAACCTACTTTGTAGTTCAATGCTCTTGTCATTTCACGCGTTTGAGATTGGAGCTTGTATATTCCTTGAGTTTACATTTCAACATTACAACTTGTGATCTTTACTATAGCCTAAAGAAAACAAAAAAAGAAGTTGAAAGTACTGTTATAAGTTTCTTTTCAGTCATAGAATTAGTAAAAAGTCAATGAGGGTTTGCATTTTAAATGGACCTTATGAATAATAACTAGTAAGACTCTTTTAACTTGGTTTGATCTTATCATACCAACCCCACAACTGAGATATTTTGACATATCGGTCTGGTATCACCAACCATTAACCAAACCCCACTTCATTATTTGTGTCTTAGAATAATGTATTAACTTACATAATGTTCCTAGTTATTAGAAGATGCTAAATTGCTTTATTTGTTTAGTTGCAACTTGTAACAGACTAGAATAAGTGCTCCATCGGAGAAGCAAAATGAACCTAGGAATTCGCACAAGTTGTAGATGTTTTTTATTCAATGGCAATGCACACAAACACACGCAAATTCTTTTAATGTTTAATGGATAGTAACATATATTTCCGGAGGCAGCTAAAGCCAAAGAAAGCACCAGAGAACTTATTCTTCCCTTGTTGAATCACTCCTCTTGATTTGTGTTTGTTTTCACCGCGAAAAAACATCATAATTGATTTTTCTCGTATCAAACGTGGTTTTGTTGAACAAATGTTTACTTGTTATTAAATAAACTTGATTTAACTTTTTGTTCTGAGATAGGTTTTCCCTATCTACGATTGTCTATCATGTGTTTATGTAATTCACCTTGATCATTGATAGGATAGTGAATCCAATGTGTACTGTAATTGGTTGTTTTGTGTTTGTGTCCATGCACATAGGAAGATACATTATGATCAATAATATTCTAATAACAACTATACTTTACAACAAGATCCTTGTGTTAACCCAAGTTTACTAGATCTGGGTCAAACCATATCTGACCAGGGGATTACATTTAAATCTCAATTTGACTATAAATGCAAAAAATTGCATTTGTGTCGAGACGAAAATTTACACTAAATTTTATGCCAAACTTATTTTCAAAATTCAAATATAAATAAAATCACTTCAATTCCATACTAATTTTAATCAAAATCAAATTTGTTCAGAGTCATAAAGCCATGACAAAATACAATGGTAATATGCACCCGATTACAAACAAATTCAGCAATCGATTTGTATCACTGGGATTTATTTACAAATTTCAAAGGTGGATTTCACCACCTAAAAGCATACATTGAAAGAAATTTTGATTGCTTAAGTTCACCAAAACAATCTACAATTCTAGTTGAGGAGTTCGGACTGAACAGAGAGCATCATTAGTTATAGTTAGGACTGAACACAGAGCATACTTTATAAGAGTAGGGTAAAAAAAAATGCTTATGTATAGAGTTTTTATATACAAAGTTGAATGTTCTTAGTTTCTTAAATAATGGATCATAGTTCCTAAATTTTAAAATATACGTATTTGTTCTACCTTTTATAAATATCCAACTTAAGTTTCTAAATCTAAACTGAAAGGTACAGAAAACAACTGATTTTAGGGACTTGAGTTAAAAAAAATATTAAATTTATGATTTTAAAGAAAAAAAAACTAAATATGATCCATTTTTGAAGCATTAAAAATATATTAATCCTAAAAAATAATTCATAATTCTACATGCGCAAACTTCTAAAATCATAAAGGGAAAAGGGAAAAAAATCAATGAATATAATTAGAAACAAAAAATTAATTATTTTATTTTTTTAGTTTGAGACCACCACTTTTATGAGAAACAATTTTGCTTGAAGCGGATAGAGCCAATTTGTTTGAAAAGAGTTGTATTCTTTGCAAAGAAAAATACAACCAAAATGAAAGTTGATAAAATGAGATTTTAAAAAAAAAAATTTCAATGCACTTTGAGATTTCTTTTTATTTGATGCATTTTTAGGAGATTTTATTGTAAAATGACCTCACCGACATATATCATAAGTCATTAAAGACGTTGGTTAACTAATTTACAAGAACTTTCCTTAAAAAAAACCACTTTATAAAACCTTAATAGCAATGATCTAACAAAAATGTATATAGACATTTTTTTATAGTAACATGATAAGATAATATCTTATAAAAGGTATAGTTTTTTATATTTTCATATAATTATATATAATAAGTTTATTAATTTTCAAATAATATTCTCATTACTTCAAATATAATTCATATCTGTAAATCAACCATTGCGAAATATAAAAGAAAAAATAGTTAATAATCTAGTTATTTAATTGCATTTTTGCTTAAAATATTCTTTCCCAAAAATTTAATATTTTTGAATAAGATTATATTCTCACTATCTATAAATAATAACTTTTATTATTGAAAAGTGAAATAGTGGTTTCTGAGATTTTTTTTCTTTCCATTTTACATATCTAACAATAATCAAAACTTTAAATATCAATTCAAATAAAAATAATAAAACGTATGTTCCAAACATTTTATTTTGACTTTTCAAATAACATCTCAATATATATAATTATCAAATAGACATAAAGTATGAATTGAAAGAGATAATTAAATAAAATGAGGAAAATTTAATGTAGCCAACCAAGAGAGATTTTTTATACTAGATGGAATAATGCTGCACGCAAACTGTGAGTTGAAATGATGCAGCTTCAAATAATTTTACATTATTCACATAAATTTCACCTTCTGGTTGTGCTCTTCTTTTTCTGTCTATCTATGCACATCTCAAATGTGACACATTTGAATGTGCAACCGAATGGCCTATTGCTTATACTTGAAAAGTTTGTATTTCTTGATATTCATGCAAATTCCACGAATGGATCCAACTGCAGCTACTACTGACATTAAGAAGCACAGAAAGCTCAATAATTGAAGCATAGACCACTTGAATGATAGTCTTTTTATCTGTTTCTGTGCAATGTGCATTTGTACAGGGAAGAAAACAATGAGTGGCCAAAACCCAGCTGCTCCAAGGAAGCCAAGGAAATCGTTGAAAAATGGCATGACCATAGCAAGAACCGAGGCTAATACCACATAAATTGTCCTATAAATTAACCTAAAGAGGTTGACGTTACATTTTAAGGACCCCATTTTGATTCGGTAGTCCTTGTTTATGAAATCTGAACGTGGCCACGCCATGTTAGCTCCCATTTCAATTACACGAAACAGTGGTTGAGCCATCACCTGTTACATAATGTACAATCTCAAATTGCAGAATAGAGATTACACACGCACAATGTGAGGATGCAGGCATTAATCAGGAGTGTCTAATCATATAAACATATGATATGTGATTAAACTCAATAGTTATTATACTTCACATTCTTTTTTGAAAAAAAAAAAAAAATATTAGCACCATATTTTTAATATATTATTACTATGGGAGGAAGAGGTAGGAAGTGTCTATATGTAAGAGAGAAGATGGAGATTAAATAAAAAATTGAGAGTATGCAGTTAACTTTCCATAGTTTAGCTTGATGAGATATTATCTCGTCTTGTTACATTACACAATACCATGCACTTTTGAGTACTATAATAAGGCTATTGACAAAATAAAGGAACATATTAATAGTTAAATATGTTAGTATATTTATATTATAGATTAGTGGAAGTTTACTGTGGAGAATTTATTGGTAATAATTTTTTTAAAGACGATTATATTCGAATCTTTACTTAAAAAAATTTGTAATAATTTTAAAATTATTTTTATTTTTTTAATAACAATTTTTATAATTAGTGTCTTATGTGATATATAATAACAATTATAAATAGAATTATCATTATATATCATATATAATAATTATAAATTATAAATGAATCATAATGATGCAAAATAACATACAATAACAATTATGTTTATAATATGTTTAAATTTTTAATGATAATTATTTTATAATAATTGTTGGTTATTTATAGAACTATTATAATATGTGATTGGGTATTTTCAAGGAGTGCTAGAAATAGAAAATTTTTCCCATATAATGGGAGACAAATCAACCATATAAGAGAATATGACATTATCTTTAACCTAAAACCCTTCAAGTTTAGGTTATGAGTTTTTTTTAACTTATAAATTACTCAACTTCCTCTTTTCTACAAAATATGAGACTTCAAACTCCCACTTGAATTCTTAACAATATATCTCTTAAGTGTGATTTTCTTTCACATTGATATATCACCTTCTCAAGCAAAAACATTTTTTATAAATGAATATCAAGTAGTGACTTTATTTGTACCAGTGTTCAACATAATAGGATTCGTTTGACTGAAAACCTTGTCAAAAAGACTTATGTTACTAATTTAATTATTACAAGAAGTAGTAAGAAGATGATTGACCAGTGTAAAAAACAAATGGAAAATTTCTTTGAAATGAAAAACCTTTGAAAGATGACATTCTTTCTTGGTTTGTAAGTACAACAAAAGCAAAAGGAAATATTTGTGTACCAAGAAAAGTATGTAAAGAAAGTTCTTATGAAATTCAACACGGAAAAGTGCAATTCAATTGCAACTCCTATGAACCAAAAAGATGGAGCTGAAAAGGTTGAAGAAAAGTTGTTCAAAAGCTTAATAGGATGCTTGATGTATTTAACAACTACCATTATGCATTTAGTGAGTTTGTTATCAAGGCATATGCATGGTGCTAGTGATGTTCATTTTCAGGCAACAAAAAGAATTCTCCTATATGTAAGGTACAATTGACTATGGGATAAGGTTCAATAAAGTTGAAAGTTTCAATTTTCATGGTAGGATGCATTGATGACACGAGAAACACCTCTGGTTACTGTTTTGCTCTTGGTTTTGTAGTTTTTTCATGGTGTTAAAAAAAACAAGAATATAGCCTAATAAATTGCGGAAGCATAGTATGTTGCTCCTAATGTAAATCAAACTCTCAGGATAAGAAAAACCATGACAAATTTGCATACAAAACAAGATAGCATAAATGTTGACTATTAATTTTAAGAAGACAAATAATATATTATTAATAAATAATAAATAAATTTGAAATGATAAAAAAGATAAAAATATGTAAGGATAAAATTATAAAAATATATATATAAATATATTTATTTATTATTAAGTTTGAAAGTATCAAAATTATAAATATATATAAAAGTTACAAAATTTTAAGAGAGTTTAAGTTCCTTTCAATTCTCAAAAAGATCCTCAGTAATAATAAATATATCTTTGTAAATAATCACAATTTCATTTGCCAATAATCCAATTTTTCATCACAAAACAAAACATTTTAGGATAAAACTTTTTCATCTTAGAGAGGTTAAAGAGATGGACAAGTGAAGCTAATCTATTGCAAAACAGGAAATCAAGTAGTCGATATCCTAACCAAGTCAGTTCCAAAATCCAGATTTGAATTCTTGAGGCAAAAGCTTGGAGTTTGCGGTTTCAAAATCAATGAGGAATGTTGATTGAATGACTATTGAAAATTAACTGTTGGTCAAAGAAAGTGGGCAACCAACTTTCTCATTTGCACCGAAAGCACGGAAGAAAAGGGTGGCTGCCAATTTTTTATTCAAGCATGAGGTGCCCACGAGACATATTTTATGGTAATGCACAATACCAATTTTTGCTATAAATTGGTCTTCTTCCTGCAAGCATAAACATTCCATCCCACACAAAAATATTACTTCTCTTAGAGAAGAAAGAGTGGCACCAGCGAGAGACAGAAAAACTAGAGAGTTTTAGTTTAGCTTCTGGGTGTAATTGGGTTGTGAGTGTTTTGAGAGTGTTTTGTAAACACTTGTGTATTTTTCTTTTCTCCTAGTAAGAGATCTGCAGTAGTCCGGAGACGTAGGCATTATTGGCCGAACTCCGTTATCAATTGGTGTGTGAAATTATTCCGCTTTTATTTCACTTTCACAAATCTGACCATATGGGAAGATTCAGCATATTTTTCCCAACAACTGGTATCAGAGCTGGTTGTTAGTTCTGTAATTTTTGTGGTGTTACTATTCATATGAATAGTAAGTTACTATTCCGTGAATAGTGAAAACGTGAATAGTGCAAATTTTGTAGGAGCTACAAATTTGCCCGCAGTCGTGTTCTGAAACACGGTAGCTCACAGGAATTGTCAGAAACGATCCAGCAGATAAGTCAGATCAGAGTTGGAGTGATGGCTGCAGACGAAGGAAAAATGAAAATTGAAAGGTTCGACGATACAGACTTTGGCTTCTGGAAGATGCAGATAGAGGATTATCTGTATCAGAAGAAGATGCATCAACCACTCACAGGGGAGAAGCCAGAAACCATGAAAGAGGAAGAATGAAGTCTCCTTGATAGACAGACTCTTGGAGTTATTCATCTAACATTATCCCGTAATGTTGCTTTTAACATTGCGAAAGAAAAGACGACATCAGATCTCATGAAGACTCTTTCCAACATGTACGAGAAACCATCAGCCTCAAACAAAGTTCACTTGATGAGGCGATTGTTCAACCTGCGGATGTCTGAAGGTGCTTCGGTGGCAAATCATCTCAATGAACTCAACACTGTAACAACCCAGTTGAGTTCTATTGACATCAAATTCGATGATGAAGTACAGACTTTAATACTTTTGTCTTCCCTACCAGAGAGTTGGAATGCTATGGTCATAGCTGTGAGTAGCTCATCGGGAAACAATAAGTTAAGATTTAATGATGTTCAAAATTTGGTTCTCAACGAAGAGATCCGGTGGAGAGAGTCAGGTGAAGCATCAACCTCTTCATTATTGCATACAGAGTCAAGAGGATGAAGTTCAACCAAAGAAATTAGACATGGAAAATCAAAGGACAGGCGGTCCAAGTCCAGAAATCATCGTAGTTCCCACAACTCAAAGTCGATCGAATGTTGGAATTGTGGGAAGACCGGACACTTCAGAAACCAGTGCAAGAGTGCACAGAAGAATCAAGGAGCAAAGGATGAAGCAAACGTTGCCTCCACCTCAGGAAAAGATGAGACGTTGATATGCTCTCTTGAAGGCAGGGAGGAGTCTTGGGTGTTAGACTCCGGAGCATCTTTTCATGCTACCTCACAGAAGGAACTGTTGGAGAATTATGTTCCTGGAAACCTTGGTAAGGTTTACCTTGGTAATGAACAGTCATGTGAGATTGTAGGCAAAAGTGCAGTAAGGATTAAGCTGAATGGGTCTGTATGGGAATTGAAAAATGTCAGACATATTCCCGACCTGACAAAGAGCTTAATCCCAGTAGGTCAGATAGCTAGTGAAGGCTATACGACAATCTTCCACGGTGATGAATGGAAGATCTCAAAAGGTGCAATGACGATTGCTCGAGGCAAAAAGAGTGGAACTCTCTACAAGACTGCAGGAGCATGTCATTTGATTGCAGTTGCAGCAAATGAAAATTCCAACATATGGCACCAAAGACTTGGACATATGAGTGAGAAAGGAATGAAGGTCATGCACTCGAGAGGAAAATTACCAGGTCTTCAGTCAGTAGATATTGACATGTGTGAAGACCGCATACTTGGAAAGCGGAAGAGAGTTAGCTTTCAGACAAGTAAAAGAACCCTAAAGAAAGAGAAGCTTGAGCTCATCCACTCTGATGTTTGGGGTCCAACGACTGTCCCATCCGTTGGTGGGAAGCATTACTTCGTGACTTTCATTGATGATCATTCCGAAAGGTATGAGTTTACTTTCTAAAATATAAGTCGGAAGTATTTGAAGCTTTCAAGATTTGGAAAGCTATGGTGGAAAATGAGACGAGATTGAAGATTAAGAAGCTCGAGATCCGACAATGGTGGTGAATATGTAGACACCAGATTCAAGAAGTTTTGCTATGATCACGTAATCGAATGGAGAGAACCGTGCCGGTACGCCTCAACACAATGGTGCAGTCGAGCGTATGAATCGAACGTTGACTGAAAGGGCCGAAGCATGCGTGTGCAGTCAGGCTTACCAAAGCAGCTTTGGGCGAAGTAGTCAACACGACGAGCTTACTTGATCAACCGAAGTCCATCGGTACCATTGGAGCACAAGATACCAGAAGAGGTATGGAGCGGAAAAGAGGTAAAACTCTAAGAGTTTTTGGTTGTGTAGCATATGCGCATATCAGTGATCAAGGCAGAAACAAACTTGATCAAAAATCAAAGAAATGTACTTTCCTTGGTTATGGTGAAGATGAGTTTGGCTACCGCATATGGGATGATGAAAACAAAAATATGATCCGCAGCAGAGACGTAATCTTCAATGAAAGAGTGATGTACAAGGACAAGCATAATACAGGTGCCAGCAACTCAGAAGCGAGTGGACCAGTTTATGCAGAAGTGGAAGATATCCCAGAAAGTCCTATAATGAGGAGTCCTCAGCCAAAGGAATCAGTTGAAGAACCTGATGTGCAAGCAGAACCTCCTACTCCAACTCCTGTATTGAGAAGGTCTTCTCGACCTCATGTGCCTAATAGGAGATACATGGACTACATGTTGTTGACTGATGGAGGGGAGCCTGAAGATTATACGGAAGCTTGTCAAGCCACGGATGCTAGCAAGTGGGAGCTTGCCATGAAAGACGAGATGAAGTCTTTGATCTCAAATCAGACATGGGAACTAGTCAAGTTACCTATGGGAAAGAAAACACTTCACAACAAATGGGTGTATCGAGTGAAGGAAGACCATGATGGTTCTAAGAGATACAAAGCTCGATCGGTCGTCAAAGGATTTCAAGCAGAAAGAAGGAGTCGACTACACCGAAATCTTTGCTCCAGCTTGTAAAGCTCAATACTATCGGGATTGTGTTAAGTATTGTGGCTAGTGAGGAGCTCTATCTAGAGCAATTAGATGTGAAGACCGCATTTTTTCATGGAGATTTAGATGAGGAGATCTACATGCACCAGCCTGAAGGTTTTTCAGAAGGAAAGAAGAACTTGGTGTGCAGATTGAAGAAGAGTCCGTATGGCCCGAAACAAGCTCCAAGACAAGTGGTATAAGAAGTTCGAAAGCTTCATGCACAAGGAGAGTTTCCGAAGTGTAACGCTGATCACCGTTGTTTCTTCAAGAGGTATAAGTCCAGTTATATCATTTTGCTACTTTATGTTGATGATATGCTAGTAACGAGGTTCGAGATATGAATGGGATCATAAACTTAAAGAAGCAAGCTTGTCAAAAGAATTTGACATGAAGGACTTAGGCCCAAGCAAAGAAGATTCTTGGAATGCAAATCACGAGAGATAAGCAAAAAGGAGTTTTGCAGTTATCTCAAGCGGATTACATCAACCGTGTTTTGCGGAGATTCAACATGGACAATGCCAAACCAGTCAATACACCTTTGGCTTGCCATTTTTGTCTATCCAAGGATCAGTCTCCTCAAACGAAGGAAGAAGAAGAGTTAATGACTAACATTCAGTATGCTTCGAGCCATTGGAAGTTTGATGTACGCGATGGTCCATGCGAGGCCAGACATTGGCCATGCAAGTGGGAGTTGTAAGCAGATTCATGTCAAATCCAGGAAAAGCTCATTGGGAAGCGAGTCAAATGGATTCCGAGGTATCTACGAGGCACAACGAAAGATGTCTCGTATTTTAGAAAATGAGATCTAAAATTGCAGGGCTACGTAGATGCGGACTTTGGAGGTGAAGTTGATCACCAAAGAAGCACCACCGGGTATGTGTTCACTGTTGGAACTACAACTGTTAGTTGGATGTCGCGGATACAGAAGATTGTTGCTTTATCCATTACAGAGGCTGAGTATGTAGCAGTGACAGAAGTCAGTAAAGAATTGATATGGCTTCAAGGATTGTTGGCAGAGTTGAGATTCATTCAAGAAAGGAGTGTTTTGCACAGTGATAGTCAGAGTGCAATACATCTGGCAAAAAATTCAGCATTTCACTCCAGGACCAAACACATCGACATATGTTATCATTTCATCAGATCTCTACTTGAGGATGAGATGCTAACATTAAAGAAAATTGTGGGAAGCAAGAACCCAGCAGATATGCTAACAAAGGTGGTGACTATTGACAAACTGAAGTTGTGCTCAACTTCAGTTAGCTTACAAGGATAACAGACAAGAGAAGACTACTATTGATCAAGGTGTGAGGACAGATTGAAATCGATCCTCAAGTGGGAGATTGTTGGTCAAAGAAAGTGGGCAACCAACTTTCTCATTTGCACCGAAAGCACGGAAGAAAAGGGTGGCTGCCAATTTTTTATTCAAGCATGAGGTGCCCACGAGACATATTTTTTGGTAATGCACAGTACCAATTTTTGCTATAAATTGGTCTTCTTCCTGCAAGCATAAGCATTCCATCCCACACAAAAATATTACTTCTCTTAGAGAAGAAAGAGTGACACCAGCGAGAGGCAGAAAAACTAGAGAGTTTTAGTATAGCTTCTGGGTGTAATTGGGTTGTGAGTGTTTTGAGAGTGTTTTGTAAACACTTGTGTATTTTTCTTTTCTCCTAGTAAGAGATCTGCAGTAGTCTGGAGACGTAGGCATTATTGGCCGAACTCCGTTATCAATTGGTGTGTGAAATTATTCCGCTTTTATTTCCCTTTCACAAATTTGACCATATGGGAAGATTCAACATATTTTTCCCAACATTAAGAAACTCAAAATCAGATTTTATGCTATACTTTAGGAAAATAAAAGTCATATTGACCGATAGAATAAAGTTGTTTTATCTCGTATTTTGTAGTTTGTTACTTATTATGCTAACATTTTTCTTTCAGTTATTTGTTATATAAGAACTTGCCATGATAAAACATATTCTCCAAAAATAGTTCCACTCACTTCAGTAATCTATATTTTTCAAATAAGCAACAAAGAATCAGAATTATATTTTAAAAATAGTAGTGCTGGTAAAAAGAACATTTCTTCTAATTTATACATTTATTTTATATACAGAGAGAGATTGAACTTGATAAATAAATATAAGGGTCGAACCTGATATGCTCCCACCATATGGATTACAATGAAAACATTGCCAAGGGCGACCAACCAGTATGGCTCATAAAATCCAAAGCCAGTGAGGATGTTCCCAGGTGTGTTATCTCCGAAAGCACCATACCCAAGTCCACCGCATAGCACGAAGAGTAATGTCATTGTTGTGATTCCATACAGATTGGCGCTTTTCATCTGTTTGTTTTCTGGTGGATAAGACTTCAATGTGTCCTAAATAATATGCATGCAAGCAAATCAATATATAATCAAATTTAATGGAATCGCTTCTTTCTATATAGATTTTCATAGTATAATAATTATAGTTTAGTTTAATAATGTGTTCTTACTCACTTACCATTATATCATAAATAACAGTAGCAAAAGAGGAAGCAAGCGCAATGTTTCCTAAAGCTTTGAAAACGTTCCAAACTTTTTCTGATTCAGATAGGTCTGGTCCTACTTTCTTTCCAAATAAACCTGTTGGTTGCCCTTTACCTGTTCATACACCAAAATGTTTCCACATTTAAGTTGTTTGGACACTGTTATACTAATTGAAGGAAAACTATAACTATTTCTATACTAGGACTAATTTATGGAATAATTCTCTGCCGCTCATTTTCATTTATCAAAACGGTTTATGTACAACCCAATCATTGGTTGTTTGAACACTGCTGTAACAGAATTAGGAAACCTGATACCATTGCATAAATGTAAAAATCTACTAAACAGTTATAACAATAGACTTCTGTAAACATCTTCTTTCTTGAAATATGAATGTAATGGACCATTGTTAGCCAAACATAGTCCTGTAGGGTGATGGGCCTCTTGGTAGTCCTTCTGGATCATGCGTTGTGGGTTGGATAGCTAACATAAGTCGTAATTCCTAGTTAGAATAACATTATACAAAGAATCTTTTGTATAAAACACTCATGTGTACTGCAGAATCTCCAAGAAAGAAATTGGTGGAAAACCTCGAGCAAGTTAGTGGCATTCTTTGGAAATATATAGTATCAAAATTAAAATCTAGGAATTAATATTGGAAATCTTTTGGAAAAAAATATAGGGGAAGGTTATACCTTGGATCAACACTGCCAGAGAAAGCCCGCTTCCAATGAAAGCATAACCAAAAGAGGTAGCGGCAGCAAGGGTTGAAAGCCAAGTTAACTTGTTAAAATTCGGGATTTGAGACAATAAAACTTGCCCAATCCCAAAAGCAATCATATAGGGATTGTTTGAAAACTTGCAATAAGCATCATGGCCGTTTCTGTGAAAACAAATGGCTTTCTTTATAGCCCTGTATGACACAATCAGAGTTATTCAGACGCCGTCATCGCATTAGCACATGATTAGTATCATTGTGAACAATCAAGCAATACAAATAGATGTAATTAAGTAATGAATGTAATAAAACAAAATAACTTACACCATGCTTATAGAACTAGTAATAGCGTAGCCCACAGTAATCCCAGCGAGTTTCCCATACAGTACCACTCCGCAAATCACGTGCATTGTTCCACCTAATTTATTAAATGGAAATATAGAACTAATCAAAGATTTAAAATAGGAAAGTAATGAATTTATGTACATGATGATTTAATTTATGCACAAGACTTGCCAAGGAAGTAGATTATATAAATTTATAGTTTATGATACCAAGGTAAGACTCAACGGCTTGCATGTAAGTGTAGTTTCTCTTGCCAGTGACTGGGTCAGGATATCTGTAGCAATCAGCTATAAGACTGTAAGTGTACAAAGAAATGAAGGCAAATGTGATCATAACGCCTATGCCAGCAATCCATCCAAGTTGGGCCATGGCCCATGCCAGAGCCAGCACCCCTGCTCCTACAACCACCGTTACAATGTGCGTCGTAGCGGTGAAAACGTTCCCTGCAAGCAACCATGACAATCCACGTAAACTTTTCAGCTTTTTCTGGTGCAGGTGAAACAATGAGAGAATATGATTCATTACTTGAAAAAAAAGAACGAAAGAAAGAAAGAAAATACTTTATCCATTTCTCCAGAGTGCGACTAGACACCTATTTCTGGTGGTGTCAAATCATATTTTGAGGGAGATGCTCCAAAATTGAACTTATATGATAAAACTTGTTAAAAACAGTTTTTATTTGTTGAAAAATCTTCAAATTCTTTTATTCACGTTTCTTTGTAATCGAATCACAAATTATTAATAATATTATTTTTATCAAATGATGATATAATATGAAACAATATTTTAAAGGACAGTATCTATGCTCATAAGAAAAATCAAAACATTGGAAGGAACAATAAATAAAATCAATTTTGACTAATTGTTGACTAATTATTTAGACGCCCAAACTTTTTGAGTTAAATGAATGTAACCTTGACGACGAATTTTCCAACCCTTGGTCAAATCGAACACGTGACTACATTTTTCTTTCACACTAAAAAAGTTTACACTTAGCCCATCTTAAAAAATATTAAATAATTGATTAGCGTTATAAACGCCAAACACTTCACTTCTTTTAAAACATAACTTAATCAACTTAATATATGCTTAGCCCAAAAATGTTTCATATGACAATCCAATATATTTTTGTCTTCCCTCTAATGTTTGAATAAATAAAAAATAGTACTGATATTTTGACAACCGTAAACTATAAAACTCTTCAAATAAATCACTTTTATTAATATAATAATCTATAGACTGATTTAATAAAAATAAAAATAAAATAAAACTATTATTATAATATTAAAACAGAGTTGTTTACAGGAGTTGTATGGATTTGGTTGTCAAAGTATCATTTTCCATTAAAAAATTGAATAATTTGGTCAGAAAATGAAGGGGCATAATAAACAAGTGAACAGAAACCACAATTTCATACTGTTTCTTGTACATGACTTAGAGAACTGTTCATTAAGAAAGATATGATTTAAATTTCTCCGTCTTAAGAAAAAAACCATTCATTCCTTTTTACACCAGATTGAATATTTTTAAAAATACTCATTCCAAAATAGGAACCGACGGGTGAAATTTTTCAATGGATAGAAAGAAATACAGGCAAAATATCCGTAAACTTAGACTTGTCAATTTCTTTCTGAAATGGAGTGAATGATTTGGGCAACACAGAAGAATACGCGTTTTTTTTATAGGTGGTGATTAAAAATGGGCAAAAGATTTTCTGGCTAATTTGCTAAAAGTGCGTTGGCTTCTTTATTTTCACACTTTATGTCTAACTATAAAGATAAAACTTTGCACGTGGTTGGTAAATTTGATTAGCTGTCTCGTTGGACCAGCTTTCCAAATACTCCTCCCACAGTCGATTCGTTGTACCAGTTTCCTAAAAGTAAAATTCAATCCAACTCGTATTACATAGTAAGTAGTATGTTTTATTTGTCTTTTCTTGGTGAATTTATTTCACATGAATTTGAACACTTTTAGTTGTTCTTAGCTGTTAGCATTAGAGGCATAATTTGTTACATATGTCAAAGAACATGTGAGCAGCCCAAAAACTTCAATATTCAAAATTTTGTTTTTTAGTATTTTACTTCTTAGTTTATGAAAAAGAAAAAAATAATTTGAATTAAAGTTTTATAATAAAATAAACTTCAACTATCTTAATATTATTTAATATAAAATTATTTTAAAAATATCTTCATATTTAAATATGGCCACCATTCTCACTAAATATCATGAAATGACGAAAGACAATTAAAAAAAACTGTTTTATTCTATTGAATAAAAAATAATACATGAATTTAATTAACATTTTAAATCATGTACGAAAGAAAAAAATGAAGAAGTTAGTTTAAAACATCTTGAAAAGAGTTTTTAGTCAGAATTGTTTAAAAATAAAATTAAATATTTTATTATGAATTTTAAAATTTAATTGCTTAAAATTTGTTTTGAATTACTTATACAAGTAACTTTCATCCAAATTTTAAGCAACTTCCATCGTTCTTAAGAATGAAAAATAAAATATATCGGTACCAACTCTCTTTCGAATAGCTCTTAAGATGGGTGAGCGGTGCGCAGTGCACAGTGTTTTGCTTTTCTAGATGGTAGAGGTTTGAATTGGATAACATTAGATAACGAATTTGATTCCAAAATCGAAGGTCTGTACTGTCTCAGTTTTTAATTTAATCTGAGAGTGATGAAGACAGACGAAAGATGAATTGATGTGTCAAGTATACATTAAAACAGGCAAATGAAGAAGCAATAAAAGAGACGAGGAATGTGCGGAAGGAATACCGAGTTTATGGAGAAAATGTAGTTAAAATTTGGGTAGATTCGAATATTTAGGGAACGATTGACTGAAAAAAGAGAGAGAGAAAGTGTGTGAATTAACTTTTTATTTTAGATCCAAAATTCTATCATCACTCCCTTTTTCTCACTGTTTCTTCTGATTCAAGTACTGCACTTAACACTCCATTCTTTCACTGTCAAACTTAATACTACAAAAATGGCGTTCTCTTGCATAATAAAAGTATCTTCAATTCCAAGAATCTTACCCTTGCATATAGACACGCGTTAAGGGAATATCTCAAATAACGTGTACTGATCTAGTATATATATCATTCATGTGGAAAATCTTCTGACACCATCAAGAGCCCTCAAATATTCATGACATACAAAAAACAAAGCCATTTTCCACGTCTAATTAATATTCCAAACACGGTAGATCGATCGAAAACGTAAATCACACGGTTTTTAATTGACGTTTTTGTCTTATTATTACGGAAATTTCTTTCCAGTGACATCAACACGCAAACATGTAAAATCAAGAGCGTTTAGTGTAGATTTTCGCATCACAATAACTGTGAAGAAACTGAATAAAACGATGTGAAACATGAAGGGGAAAGAAAAATAGACAAAAGAAAAGCAAATATACTAACCAGTTCTTTTGACTTTGCCATCGTCATCGAGCGACGGGTCTCTTACAGGAAACCCTTTGCCGGTTTCAACGTCCATTTCGGGATCCCTAGTAACTCGCAAGCCTCTGCAGAAAAGTTGAGAAGCAAAAGAGTGAAGAAAGACGAGTATAGAGAGAGAACACCCACTAAGTTTATATAAGCCGGTTTGGAAGCAAAACAAGTGCTTAAATTGTAACCGCAATGCTTTTGCATGACATTTGGCGAGAATTATTCGCCATCGCTTCCCTCTTACCCGATTCTCATAATTCTCGTTACTGTTGTTCCTATTTGTATATTATTATTTTTTAAATTTATATCGCATTTTTAAATATTATGCATATAATAAATTCAAATAATAATAGCTGTACAATCATTAAAAAAAAACTCTAATAAAGATGTCTCCATTCAATTTACCGTGTTTAGATGTATTTATTGTATTAAACACGTATTTAATGCACTATAAAAAAATAAAAATTTATCCGCAGAAAATTTTAGACAAAAATAAATCCATAAAAAAAATTTATTACTACGGATAATCCATCGGTGATGTAATAGTAACAAGTAAATATTATTTTTATTATTTATGGACAAATCCGTAAGAAAATCCATGAAAAAAATATCAATATATTAATTATTTATATAATAAATAATAATGTAATAGTTATGTAATTATAAATATTAATATTTTAATTAATAAATATTAATATATTGACTATTTGTATAATAAATATCAATACATAAATTATTGAATTAATAAATATTAATCTTTTAAATATTTAATAAATATTAATATATTAACTATTTAAAAAAACTATTAATATATTAATTGCTTGATAAATATTAATAGAAATTTATTAATTATTAATTATTAATATTTTTTATTTAATGAATAAATCTACTTATTAATTATTTAACTATAGTTATTAATTTAATAAATAATTAATATATCTAATAAATAAAATTAAAAGTATAATACTAATTTATATTTATATGTAGCTATTATTAATATTTTAATCATATTTATTTCTACTTAATTTTATAAAGTTTCTTCCGTTCCTATTAGGCCTCGTACATCGATAGAGATGAAACCCTTGATCTGTTGTTGCCAATGCTCTCAAGCTTCCGACGAGCCTAACAAAACCATAGACAGTGTCACCTCATTCACTTAAAACACAAAAAGGTTTGAGAATATGATTTTAATTTTTCTTTTTCACTTTATAGTTCTCTTCATTTTCACTCAGTCACTTACTCAAAGCATATAAAATATCTTTGTTACCTCACTCAAATTTCTTTTTTCTCAAAACTCATTGAATGTAAATTGTATTTTCGAATTCTGTAAGTGTGTGTGTTTTATTTTTCATTAAAACTCATTTAAATAGAAAAATAACATTAAAAAATAGTCTTTGGTCATTAATATTTTCATAGAGAAAAAATCATAATGTATTTAAAAACATTTATTATTCAAATTTGAACTGTCATAATTGATTATGTTACTAGTATAATCAATTATGACAAAGAAAATTATTTTTCCATTTCGATGCATCATAATTGATTATGACAGGTAAAAAATATCTTGTTACAAAATTTTATCACATTTGTGCTTTGAAGGTTTATGCATAATATTACTTCATCAACTTGTACCTTCATATCCAGTATTCTAAGACTCTATCTAGTCTTCAAGAATCATCTTAGACTTACTTAAATCTTGAATAGAATCTTTATCAAATCATATCTTGGGCTTGCTTGAGTCTTGAATGTTGTTGACTTGAATCATAATCAAAATCAACTCTTGAGAATGTAGAGACATGTTTCATATTGTCATCAATCTCCCCTTCATTGCTTTCAATCTCCCATTTTTTTATGATGATCAAAGAAACACCTGAAATGAATTAAAATGTTTGACTTTATATAGCCAACTCAAGATTAGTAAAATATAGTGTAGCATAGATTAACACAATATATTTAAACTCCCTCTAAATATATTAATAACAAAGTTCCCCCTAACTCATCTAAGAAAAACTTCTCTTAACTCCCCTTATTTAATTCAGAATTAGGAATGAATTTCATACAAATTTTAATTCATAAAAAATCTCCCCTTGTTTCATTGATAATCATAACAAAAT